AAGTGTTTATATACATAAACAAGAATGTTAGAAAACATGGCTAGTTAATGTCCGCAAGAAAATACGGCGGCAATTGCGATCTAGCCAAGGCGAGCGTCCCAGGAAGTGTCTCATAATGAAGTCGACGAGAAACAATAGTTTGATACAGGACGTCGCCGATTTATAGTGCAACTTGGCAAAGTAATTTTCTTTGTGCAACCGTGGACTTTTCGCACAGTGCAATTTTACAACAGCTTACAAGAAATAATTAACTCGTACAATTAACACAAAGTGCAAATATCCCGTCAGAGTCCAGTTCTACATCCGTACAATGGCAAAATTCAATACAATTAGTGGTGTTTGGAGCAACTGGAGCGTGAGAGGAATCCGGGCACGGTACAGTTCGCGGCGCAGTGCCCCGGAACCAAGTGTCGTGTCGACAGTGTCATCGCAAAGTAGCTATTCTATTCATCGTAGACCTATTGGATGGTATTAAATGACTTTGTATGCCATAAGAATTTCTACCAGATAACACATATTAACAAAATCCAGTCGACACAAGACCTAAGATATTGCCTTGAATTCTTAGTAAACTAAGGTGAGACAGGTTCACAGATATGAAATTCAAATTACACTTATTTATAGGCTTTCAGCGTTTTCGTATTCAGGCCATCTCTACAGCAGAAGATGGTAATAGAATTAGGATTACTCATTTACGTACTGTTATTAGGTTATTACTTAGGTATTATTTAAAGTAACATACTATTACATTGCACAGTGGTATAATGTGCACCTCTGCCTACCCTTTCGAGGATAAAAAGGCGTGATGTTATGTTATGTTACATACTATTAATTTATTTCTGCACTATTTGGAGTTTGAGGAAAAACGTTCAAATCAGTGCAAGTTGTTATTATGTTCGACGAGGAGTTGATTAACAACAAAGTTTGAGGTATTACACAAAATTTTAGCAAGAATATGGTTCTACTGCTTTTTGTACGAAGTCATTTATTTCCTAAACGGATTGGTATGTGATTATCGAGTATACGAGCTACTTGCTCATCATATTAACTCTGCAAACAGTCGGGGCGTAGCGCACACCCGATGATGTCACCACATCACCCAGCACTTGTCAACATGCCGTATTAAAAGTTAACATTACGTGAAGTATTATATAGATGGTACTCGGTCATTTGTCTACGTTTGTGAAAAATATATTTTATTTTTCAGATACCACTGGGTATTTGAAGGCATTAGAAGATATAAAGTGGGTCTGAAAGGATCCCGAACGTTTTAAGATGTATCTAATTGGGCTAAGCGGGGTATTCGATCGGGTCTCTTGATCTTGTTATCGCGTAGGTCATATCAGTCAGTTCAGAGGGAACTTTTCGCTAGCTTTATTGGCTTGATTGAATTATAACAGTTTTTATAGCTAAACATACTTCAAGTGATGAATGAATAACCTAACTCGGTAGGACAGTATAAAAACCTTTTACGAAATATTGTGCATCATCAGTTTGTTGATACGTTTGTTTTACGTCTTGACTCCGACATCGCAAGGTCGCCTTTAATTCAATAGACGTTTTCGTAAAACGAAATAATAAAGATTAAAACAACCGTGACCGCTACTGTATATCGTCTGACTCATTAGGTGTTGGGATGAATAATAAACAAAACGTGTAGAGTAACGATATACTAGAAACAATACATTTTGTAGTCTACAGCTCTACAGTAGGGTCTACGAAAACTAATATCATAAATTATTTTACAAAACCTTTTAATGAAGGCTTTGTTTACTCTGGCATTGTTTTCGCAATATTGTATTTAGTTGACGGCCTTCATAGTTTTTATTAACAACATCATCTCCATTGTTTCTTCGATTCTCATATTTATCTTTGAATATATCTATTAGTTCGCAAAACGGTGTCATTATCTTTCCTAAGTATCATCTGCTTACGTATTATTGGCTGAAGTCCCATGTATAAACGTAAATTAAATCTTTGTTTGTCTTTGAACCTGAAGATCCTTGCGGCCAGTTTTGATCAATGGCATGGTGAGTCAGAATACGGTTCGACATCTGCGACTGCGCTCTGATGTATTCTCTAAATATAGGCACAGACATTGCGGCTGTTTAATTATACCTATGGTTTGCACTGGTACCGTGATAAATTTAGGACGTCAAGTGTGCTAAGCCCTTAGTAGAAACCTTCCGTTTATGTGCGACGAATGACCAATAAGGATTTTGCGGCAACTGTGTTGCAAGGTTTATCATTTTCTATTTGGGCACCAATGGCTAGCAATTAGTAGGGATAGAGTACTGTGAAGTATTTTATCTATTAGAAGCTGAACATAATTAAGACTGATATACATAATGGTGACCTATTTGTCTTAGTAGGTTCACATTACTTAACCCAAGAGATAAGCGGGAGATAAACTTGTTTATATCTTTCAGGAGATGGTAGCCACTTGTACATTAAATTAAATGTAAAATTTCATACAGTAGAGATATAAAAAGGTAATGATTGGTTTATTTAAAACTTTCGTGAGACATACTAATTAATTTTTATGTTTTCGGCTTACTGACTTCGGTAACTGTTTGACGAGCCACTTCGCGGGTCGCGGAATGCTGCTCATGAATATGAGCCTCTAGCATGGCTTGAAACTAGTCGAATTCCTCGTCAAACAGTTACGTGAGTAAAGCGAAAACATAATAATCAATTAGGTAATTATTTATTTTGGTTTATAAATCTTTAACATGTTTAATGTTCTCAGACTGAAGTCTGTAATTAACTTGGGAGCTTTAATTTCGAAAGAAAGAAGAAAAGAAAAATGTTATAATAATTCCTGATATGAAAAGGACTATTTTTACACAAAAGAGCTACTGAAAATTAAATATTTAAACCTGCATTATTATTTTATTTATTACAATATAGATCTTAATGACAGGCTCTTGTACCTGGCCTTAGGAAAATATGGGAGTTACTGGTAATTTGTTATTATAAATATTATAGACTCTTTACAAACTTTAATGGAATAAATGCACAATTATGTTTATAAACTTATAATTGCACAATACACCATGTTTTTATTTGACTTCACACAGGACATTATTCTTATACTTGTTGTGTTTATAATATAAAATACAAAGTAACAAAAAACAAAAAAATTTGCAGGTCACAGTAATGAATAAGGAAATATTTATGAAAGTGATTTTTAGCATCCTTTGTGTCCAAACAACCAATCACAAACCTCAAATAGTATTTTTTTTTGTAAAAATTGATTCTAACGAAAAAATCACAGGAAAATTAGTGAATTATCAATAACTGCATCCAGCCTGAATTAGAATTTATTTATTCTACTATAATTGAGGTTTAACATGTAAAGGAAATCGTATTCCAGTTTAGTCCATAGTCACAAGATAAGATTTTCGAGGTCTACTGAATCCCTTAAATTCCTTGATAGAGGGTCGCTTCTTAATGCTAATAGGAGGAAAGCCGAATTAATATGTTCACTGTTGTATTGATTTGATAATGAAAATAATTTAGTTATGAATACATTGTTTTGTTTTTATATACAAAAAAGGATCTACATCACATAGGTACATTAGAATTTTATTTGCTATAATTAGTCTGTAACCACACAATTATGTGAAACAAGAGCATACCTAGTAAAAACATAGAAAAAACGTAATTATGTTTTTATGAACACCTAACAATACAATAGAGTTTCCATTCCCACATTAAGAAAAACAAGATTATGTTTAATACATTAGCTCAAACTCAATATCATAAAGAGGAGTCAAGCTTTTTGCACTCAATGTTAAACTAGAAGTTATTTGCAGAAGATAAAATACATAATTTCGTATTGGATGTTTTGAGAACTTTTTATAAAATTTCTTTGTAAAATACACAGGCTAATATTCAGACTAACGAAAGGTAAAATAAACATCATAGTTACACATTGTTTAACGTCTAATACATAATGCATTTTATCAACTATTTATTCTTCAAAGGTGTCCAGGTCTCCCGGGAGCTATGTACCCAATTAGATTACTATGAAAAGACTAAGACCATGGCAATTCATGACAAGATTGTTACTCATATTGGATAAGCGCAATGCGGTAGTAAGAATAAATAAATGTACGTAGATAAGTTTTACCAAAAAATTGCTGCAATTCAAAGTTAGGATTTGTGTAATGCATAACGAAACGAGGACGTTCCATCCCGCCTACAATCTACAGCCAACTACCAACACCGTGACAAACACAAAGTATTTAACTAAAACGCTGAGTAATAATCAACTTACCAAAATGACGACAAACAGATAAAATGATAATATGATTAAACAGTTCTCACTTCATTATATAAATCACAGTAATAAGATAGTAAATGAAATTCATAAATGTTCATAAACACACAACACATACGTCACTCAGAGATCCGCCATTTTATAAATTTTAAAGTTTTTTCTTGTCATAGCTACGATTTAGACTATGACATTTACATACAGCCTATTTTAATAAATCGATCAATAATTATCTTCAAGAAAGTTATGGAATACACATTTTATTTTATTTCATAATGATCATTCCTTGCGCAATTATTAAGAATGTTTATGACATTTTGTCATCGCATTTCATTTATTAATATTTAAACTTGAGTTATCCAGTTCACCGGTTATTAATTTCAAAATGGGGATAATTTTAAGAAATACATTATTATTATTGGAAGGAAGATAATAATTGAAACTAAAAATATGTTTTTTTTCAGCCAAAACTGTAATATTAATTTTAGAACTATGTTACGCAGTTAAAATTGCAAAACTACTAAGAACGCCATCTCTTGGACAGTGCACCACAACTTTCAAACTTTTGGACAAGACAAGAGGCAGATGACACTTGACCTGACATTATATACGTCAGACGAGTCAACAGGACATTGTTGTGAATGTGAATCAATGACTGCTTGATTTTATCATTTTGTTCGTAACAAAATAATCAGAAATAATAAAAAAATCTGAGTGAATGGATGTTGATAAGATGTATAACCAAGTGTTGTTATTACTAACGATATTATCAACACTATTCTTATTCGGAAGCTGTGAGTTCTTAATAAAATATTATGCTGCACTCCCAAAAATTGTTTGTTTCCTTGATTTACGTGTATGTTTTGTGGTTTTTAGGCTCTATATATCACAATCTTAAATATTTTGAAACAATACATGCCTCGAAATTGGCACATCATGTAGTGAAGCGAGGTGCAAAGTTATCCAGCCACCCTTTCAATACTATAAAAGAGGTTCATTTCAAGACACTTGGAAAGGATTTCAGATTGATCCTCCACCCTCACAGTTCCGTTCTACATTCTAATTTTAAAGCTTACACTGTAGATGGAGATGGCAAGGAAACAACTGTTCATGTTGGTGAGAAAGGTTTTATTTTATTTTATGAAGATAGATATGTTCAGTTAATAATTACTAGCCCCACCCTACATTGTTTAAAATGGGATTCAGAGATATAGTGTAATGTTATGAGACATACAAGATATTTTTTTTAAATAATATGAGTATAACATAGATAACAAATAAAAAAGCAAGCAAAAGGCTAAGCCTAATTTTATTTCCTATGTTTCTGTTTAAAAAAATGATTTAACACAATGCTTGAAATAATCCAGCAATCTGATGAAGATAATCATAGTAACAAATTTTTAAATATGAACTTTCACTCTCTTTGTATGTCTCAGTTTTTTACTATTACTTATATCCAATATGAAATTATGTCAATGCCACCAGCCTGTTTGTTAAGGTATGGATTGTTAAACATTATTTCATTATTCCAGACAGGGAAAACTTCTACACAGGCAGGGTATTTGGTGAGAAGTCCTCAGATGTGAAATTGCACATGGAAGATGGTATGATAACTGGAATTATCCACACTCCAGATGAAACATACCATATTGAGGTGATTAAACATAGCAAATAATTTACCCTACCACAATGAACATCATTATAATCAGCCTGTTTATGTATACTTCTGGACCTGTTCAATATCATGCCTTCATGGTCAGCTACTGTTAGCAATCTTTCGAATATTGTCCCTCCCCTTACTGTAGTTGAAGTAATTTGTTTTTTTTGACTATTTAGTTCAAATAATATTTCTATATTTTCAGCCCTCATGGCGCCATCTACCTCATTTAGATGACAAGACAATGATCACCTATAAGTCCTCAGACATACATTTTAGTTGGAAAGGTTCTGATGAAGCAAAGGGATCAAAACCCAGAGTCTGTGGCTATGTCAAAGAGGGGAAAGGTAAAGAACTTAGAATAACACCTAAATATAACACGCAAAAACAATATTGGACTTTAGTTTCTTGTCTTTACAGTTTCATTTTAAAGAACAAGATTGTGTACAACATAGTTACATGTTATGTATGATTTGTTTTATTTTTTTATATTTGATGGGCCGACATTTGATTACTATCTCGCCCGGTATGGTAAGTGATGATAAGGTCTACGATGGAGCATGTCGTCCCATTAACAACCTATTTAATCTTGAAGACACCCAGGTTAGACTCTTGCAAAGAATTCTACTTCTTAGCAAGCGCAAGGAAGCTTGATGCGAAGCGCTTCGTGCGTGTGATGATGACGTTGATACTAATATATAGTGTTTGACCTCCTTACCCTTTAGAATTGGAAGAAGATGATGATGAAGAAGACATAGAAATTGTAGCTGATGTGGAATCGGAACATGAGCAATCAGAGAAGGACAAATATCTGGAAGAGAATGCACATTACCCTAATACTACAGACCCCACACAAAGTAATAAGAAACGCGTCAAACGACAGAGCGATTATGAATACACGCCGACAAAAACTAGGTGCCCATTGCTACTCGTTGCAGATTACAGGTTCTTTCAAGAAATGGGTGCTAGTAATACTAAAACTACTATTAGTTATCTGGTAAGACATGGTGGATGTTTTTACAACACACATTGCCCAATTACCCCCCCCCCCCCCTTTCCCCAATCCCTAAATCCCCAACAATCCTCAAATTCCTAATCCCAAAAGGCAGGTAAAGCACTTATAACGCCACTGGTGTTCCAGGTATCGATGGGCGACGCCGATTGCTTACCATCAGGTGATCTGTCTGTTAACCGGCTTATCCCATAAAAAAAACACATATCCTGGCCTCAACCCTTAACTCATGGGGTTAAGCATGAACTACACACTACACCTACCTGCATCCTTTATCATTTCTGGTTATACAAGCGTGCCAGATGAGAGTTCTCATGTAAATTTTATAAATACTTTCTGGAATCTACATAACATAACATAACATCACGCCTTTTTATCCCCGAAGGGGTAGGCAGAGGTGCACATTATGCCACTGTACAATGTAACACCCACTTTTCACTATTATGTTATAAGTCCCATGTAATAGGGGGTGAGCCTATTGCCATATACCGGGCACATTTCCAGACTCCGTGCTACTACTGAGATTTTTTTAAAAACCCCAGTAATACTTTATCCGACCCGGGAATCGAACCCGAGGCCCGTTGCCCGGCAGTCGCACTTGCGACCACTCGGCCAACGAGGCAGTCAGTGGAATCTACTTACATCTATATTTTCAACATTCCCAAATAATTTCTAATAGCAAGTTTGTTTATTGCAGATTAGCCTTATAGATCGGGTACACAAAATATATAATGACACCCTCTGGCAAGACCGACAGGTTGGTATAAAAGGAATATTCTCTAAACTTGTTCATAGGTAAATTATGTTGTATGTAAATTTCAAAAATCCATTTTGTATTGGAACAGGATATGGACGGTTTTAAAGGCATGGGTTTTGTAATAAAGAAGATACTGGTCCATTCTGAACCGACTCGTGTGCGTGGTGGAGAAGCACATTACAACATGGTGCGCGAGAAATGGGATGTTCGTAATCTACTTGAGGTAAGATGTGTGGTTTAACGAGTACAATAATTGAGCCTACGCTGGCTGATTTATTTGTCTAAAAACCTTGTAAGCTTGTCACAAAGTTAGTGAATTATTCTTTCGTGCATTCGACATTGCACTGCCGACAGAGAACTGTTGAGGGCAAATTCTCCGCTGTTATGGCTTGGTGGTCCTTGTTGATCCTGCTTTAGGTAGTCTAAAGTCTTACTCGTATAACCTTTAGACTTGTATGTTAGACTAGCTACGTCCGCGTTTCACACGCTCTGCTCAGCTCCTATTGGTCGTAGCGTGATGTTTTATAGCCTATAGCCATCCTCGATAAATGCGCTATCCAACACAAAAATTATTATTCAAATCAGACCTGTAGTTACAGAGATTAGCGCGTTCAAACAAACAAACAAAAAGCAAACTCTTCCGCTTTATATAATAGTACTAGCTACTTCCGCGCGGTTTCACACGCTCTGCTCAGCTCCTATTGATCGTAGCGTGATGTTTTATAGCCTATAGCCATCCTCGATAAATGCGCTATCCAACACAAAAATAATTATTCAAATCAGACTTGTATTTACGGAGATTAGCGCGTTCACACAAACAAACTCTTCCGCTTTATATAATAGTATAAGATAAGATAAATGTATGTTTTATATTTATTTGGCAGGTGTTCAGCCGCGAATATTCCCACAAAGACTTCTGTCTGGCCCATCTGTTCACTGATCTTAAGTTCGAAGGTGGTATCCTCGGTTTAGCGTATGTAGGGTCCCCGCGACGGAACTCAGTCGGCGGTATTTGTACTCCAGGTAAACCGGCCATATTTAATTATATTATTGTTATTTATTTCTTCATGTTAAACTATATTATTTTGATTTTATTTCCCCTTTGTTTATATTCCATTTATAATTTGTGTTCGTTTTGTTTTCAGCTATAATGGTGCCTAGTGTGAGTGTCCTTATTTGTTTTGCTTTATTTTATTTATTTGCATTATATTTCCTGTTGTTTTACTATTATTAGAACTGTATTATAAGTGTTATTTCCTAGATTAAGTAGGTATTTGATTGGAACCAAACATTTTAACCTTATTTGTGGGGACTATGCATCAAATCAATTATTTATATGTGGTGGTGGAATTATGTTCATTAGTCAAACCACAGAATAATTAATAACATAGACCTATTGACCACCACTATCTCTCATAATCTTTTTGCAGCTTACCTATCACAGGATGACTCGCAGAGAATACAGCCTGTCCTTAAGTCCTCCCTAAGCAATAGTATCAAACTTAAATATTTAAATAAATATTGAGAACTGTAGGTTTTAAAAATATTACCAATAATATAATATACCTGTATTTACTAATACAGAATACTTCAAGAACGGCTACACTCTGTACTTGAACTCCGGTTTGAGTTCGTCTCGCAATCATTATGGACAGCGTGTGATAACTCGCGAGGCCGACCTTGTCACTGCGCATGAGTTCGGCCACAATTGGGGGTCGGAACATGACCCCGATGTGGCGGAGTGCTCCCCCGCCGCCAGCCAAGGGGGGTCGTACCTTATGTACACATACAGTGTCAGTGGATATGATGTTAATAATAAGGTACGTGTTTTTGCAATTTAATTTTCCTACTAACTTTTACCCGCGTATTTCTATTTTATCCCATGGGAGCACTTAATCGGGTTAAAAAGTCCTATCACCTAAGTCAGTTCATGTCTGTATACCAAATTTCATCAAAATACGTTCAGTAGTTTCAGTGTGATTGAGGGACAAACATCCAAACAAAGAAACTTTCACATTTGGAATATTAGTGTGATGATAAATTATTTCTGAATTCTTAATGAAATTAATTTATTTAACGTATTATACTCATCATTTCTATTGCTGAACTTTTCTAATATAACCTCAATGAGTTCAATCTGAATTTCTTTACGTAGCACTAGCAATTCTTTTTCATATTGACTTATCCATTGAAAGATATAGATTTTACCTAATAGGTTAAAAACTTTTTACAGCGATTTTCTCCATGTAGTCTTCGATCTATCCGAAAAGTTCTTCAGGCCAAGTCTGGTCGCTGCTTCTCTGAGCCGGAAGAGAGCTTCTGTGGAAACTTGCGCGTTGAGGGCGGGGAGGAGTGCGACGCTGGTTTACTAGGTAATTTTGATACCCTTGATAGTTTAAATAAGATAGATAATGTAATGACTGTGGAAGCTACTTACAAATTTAGCTTATTATTTCAAACTGGTGGTTTTAAGTTGATAGTTAATTTCAGGGACGGAAGACAATGATATGTGTTGCGACAAAAACTGTAAACTAAGGAAAAACCAAGGAGCTGTGTGCAGGTAATGAGAATAATATTATTATTAACGCCGTGGGCTCGAGTCTCTGTGCCCGGTCCACGATATTAAGCTGAGCTCCAGCCTTTTGCGCTCCGACGCACCATGTGCTTTTTTGTGTGTACCTAAATTCTTGTTGTGTGTCGTGGCAAAATAAATGGTTTTTCTTTCTTTCTTTCTATTTATCAGTATCTCAACTGTAGTTGCATAGAAAATTGAACGTTATTACAAAGGTATGGTGGTTAAATTTTTAGTGACAAGAATTCTCCATGTTGCGCGGGTTGTGTGTTCGCTCCGCCTGGCGTGGTGTGTCGCGAGGCGGCACACTCCGCCTGCGAGGGAGAAGCTACGTGCAATGGAGCCTCTGCCGATTGTCCTAAGGTAACGAAAGGATAATATATATTGATTCATTTATAAAATTACGGCCATTGACGTCACGGTGGGTGCGGTCGCTGGGCAACTGGCTGCCACGAAGCAAATCTTGGTGTGAACCACAAATTGTTATCCGGGTCTAGGTGTCATGTGTATCAGAACTTGTATGTTTGTAAACGCACCCACGACACAGGTCCCTAAGGTCGGTAATAAAATTTATGAACATTCGGTGGTGAAATTACATACCTTTCTTATTAGAGGCGGTAATGAAGCGTTAGAACTGATGACCAATATTTATCAATGGCTAGGGAGATAAATCAGGCAACTTTTTACAGGTAAGCAAATTATACTACTGATGAGATCCTACGCCCCAGTAGCTTTTATTGGCACGTACTTCACGGAATTACGTATCATTAACTCGTCGAGTACCGGTTTTATAGACACAATTAAAGAACAATAGGTCGCGGTCACCGGTGACCGCTTGGTGTTTGACAGTTTAATATTAAAATTATACGTTGATTGAACTGATATTCATAATAATATGTATATTTATATTAATATGGGGTATAAATAATATGTATTATGGACCCAGGCGCCGGCTATAGCGGATGAACACGAGTGTGCGGAGCGCGGGCGGTGCCGCAACGGGACGTGCGTGCCGTACTGCGAGACTCAGGGCATGCACAGCTGTATGTGCGACATTGGTGAGTTGTCTACACTCACTCTATACATATCAAAAACCCGAGCGTACGGCGCGTCGCGTTCCGCGCGTGGCTCAAAGAGCTATCAGACCACCACAGATGGGGCCCAACAGGGCCGATGCCGATTCGGAGTCGCGGAGAACCTAACGGGTAACCGGGGCTCCGCCTCGACGTGCAGGAGAAGGAACGGGGTGGTTTTTAGACAGTAAGAGTCTGACACTCCCTCCCGCCTCACCCAGGCGGGAGCAGACACTCGATGATTTTCCCCCCTTAAAAAAAAATAAAATAAAAAATACATATAAAAAAGACAGTTAAATGTCAAATCACGCCTTTTATCCTCAAAGGGGTAGCAAAAGGTGGGGCAAAGGTGCATGTTACGGCAGTAATGCCAATGTACAATGTAACACCCACTTTTTACTATTTATGTTATGAGTCCCATGTAATAGGGGGTGAGCCTATTGACATATACCGGACACAATTCCAGACTTCCAAACTTCATGCTACTATTGAGAAAAACCCAGTAATACTCCTTGCTCAGCAGTCGCACTTGCGACCACTCGGCCAGCGAAGCATTCAGTCAATCAAATATATCAGTCAAAGAAATCGTCTATAACATGAAAAAATATCTTGCAAAGAATGCCTAAATTAATTTTAATCGTACTCTCAAAATTGTTCTATAAAGCCTGCTTACCAACATTTATCTGCTCTTGAGCTTGATTCTTCTTCTGCTTATTCAATAAATATTAATTTAATTACAATTTTACAGTTGCGGATGCATGCAAACGTTGTTGCCGTAAGAGCCTGAATAAGACTTGCTTCCCAGTGGCACATAATGATATCTTACCTGATGGGACGCCGTGCATTCAAGGATTCTGTAATAAGGTTGGTGTAAAGAAAATAAATCTAAAAAAATAAAAACTGCGTTTAAAAACCGACTTAAAAACTAATAATAAACAAAAGTAAAAACTAAAAAGCATAAAAAATGACTATTACTGGTATTGATAGGTTACCCACCCACTGATAGGTTAGAAGTCGGCGCCATAAGTTCTATACAAAATTGTTCATTAAAACATTAATGGATACCTAATTTACAATTTTGTGGCCAATAAGTTATTATTATTTTTATATATATCATAATAGCTTATGCCACCGACTTCTAACCTATTCTACACTTTTTCAATACATTCACGACAAGTATTTGTAATAAAGTTGAAAATGTATTCAAATATTGTTTTTACATTTAATGAGAACCTAAAAAAGTAACGTTTATAGTTGACCCTTGACCGCTGTTTTAAAAGACTTAAAAGAAAATTCATTGTGCGAATTAAACTTCAGCTAACCAAGCTACTTTAGCCTGTCACTTTTTCGATACATTTCCAACCTTATAATTTTCGTAATAAAGTCGAAAATCTAACAAAGAAATTTTTTACAGGGTGTTTGTGAAAAAACAATCCAAGATGTGGTGGAGCGTTTCTGGGATATAATTGAAGATATTAACATCAATAACGTGTTGGGTTTCCTGCGGGACAATATTGTCGGAGTTGTGGTTCTAGTCACCGCCTTTATTTGGATACCTGCTAGTTGTGTTGTAAGTTTTAAAAACGTTTAATAGGTAAGGCACATTGTCTAGCAATACGGTAGTTGACAGGTAATCAAATACAATACTTTTATTGAAATGTCAAAAACGATACTTTTCTATGAATTTTGTATTGGATCGCAACTTATGACGTCATCACATTTCTGCGTCAAACAGCATACTTATTTCCTTAAAATTAGCGAGAGAAAATCCAAAAGTAGGTAAATTGTCAAATCAATGGATGAGAGTATGATTAGTTTGTAATTAAGTAAAAAAGCGGGTTATTCACGTGAATATACTGAGAAAAGCTGTACTAGTTTCGAACTTCATGAGCAGCGTGCGCGGTCGCAGCGACGTCGCGCTGCTCATTTTTAGTATGTCTTACGATAGTTATTATAAAAAACATAGTTTGTAATTCTTTATGGCATTGACAAGTTGAAGCAATTTATTTTAAACCTAGGAAACTAGCCAATTTAACATGAAGGCTTTCATAAGTACTTTGGTTAACTTTACAGCAAGTTTGAAGGATCCTACAGAGCCCTTTCAAATATTTCTAATAGGTGTCACAAAGAACCACAATAATAATTTTAAAGAACAATCTGTTAAACCAATATCGATTTTTTAAAGCTTATGTAGAGTGACCGTATGATGTTTTTGTAAATCGAATTCTTTTATTTAGATAAGTTACGTGGATCGGCGTCGACAGCGACAACATCAGAAGTTCTTGGACTGGGAACGACAACATGACCTCATTCACCCGTCATCGCCGCGGAAAATTATACATACACGGTAATTTCAAACAAGAATTAAATAAAATCAACTTCTATTTAATTCTTTTTTTTTTTTTCTAGCTAGATTTACGGATTGGGTACTTCCCAAACCGTGTTTGCCAATAGTTCTCTGTGGTGGACACAACTGGTCAATCCAAAGTACTTTACATCACGCCTTTTATCCCCGAAGGGGTAGGCAGAGGTGCACATTACGGAACTTAATGCCACTGTACACTATAACACCCAATTTCATCATTTAATTATATGAGTCTCTTGTAAGGGGGTGAGCCTATTGCCATATACCGGGCACATTCCCAGACTCCGTGCTGCTACTGAGATTTTTTTAAAACCCAATAATACTTTGCCCGACCCGGGAATCGAACCCGAGACCCCTTGCACTTGTGACCGCTCGGCCAATTAGGCATTCAGTTCTGAAAATACAGGGTATTGAATTTCATTGCTTCAGGGCGCCTGCTCTTGATTCCAATTCCGATCGATCGACATTGACATTGTGAAATTTCGTACTATTGAGTTGCAACACTAGCGCCCATTGCATCCGTATTGCGTGGGTATTTCATGAGCTAAATAATATTAAGTTCGGCTTTATATTCCGTATTCTGAATGCTTTTTTAACAGCTACGACATGGGTTGCAGAGTGTTGACATTGAATAATTATTAAGATTTTATTGGATTGAAATTGCATTGACTTTGAGATTGGTTTCAAGAGTAAGCACCCAGGACTCATGTAATGTTTTATATTTTCAGATTGCCTAAACAAAAGCCTCCTGGCATGAAAGCAGCAATACAAGGCACAAGTCAACTGTAATTCATTATCTAGAATAGTTATATTATCGTAGTTGTACCTTTTCCAATAAATACATAGAATATAAGAATAAAAACAATGTGTTTTATTATTATTTTGTTTATTGTTGCTCATAAAGATAAGAGTGCACAGCATTAAGCAAGTATTAATTAAGATAAATAATTAATAAATATAAATTGCTAAGCTAATGTAACGTTTACATATAGAAATTTGTATAACTTAAATTATTTTTGTATAAGTGTCTAGTTAAGTGCGGTGGAGGTGAGTAGGGCTACGCCCCTCTCGTAGAAGGCGTGGGGCTCCTGTCCGGGCGCGATGGGCAGGCGCACCGTGAACAGTAACTCGGAGCGAGCGCTGTTCAAGTACACCGGCAGGGTCAGGGACTGACCGCCTGTTGACGTTTCAGGACCGCTGCGGAAAAGATAAATGGTTAGGTAACTGTGTCAAGTTGTCGAAGTCGATGGTAATCAATGCTAAATGTCACTGAGAGTAATGAAATACAAACAAAGAGTCTACGGTCGATTACGAGCTCGAAATAAATATTTTTGGTTCTTTTGGTTTTGGAAAGTGTTCAGTAGTTGCAGACTTGCAAGTCTGCGATAGTGCCATCTGTGTACACTACCCTACACTATTGGATTGTCATACACTGTCCTCCAGTGTTTGACAACTTGCCTTCTTTTACATAAAACTAATAACGCCGTAAGAAACGAGTAAAAAGTTTGACATTTAAATTGCGCCCTATACCTACTCCTACTATAAAAATGTGATAAAATATTATTATATTTACCGGATCCAAGTAAGCACGGTGAGCGGCAGATCCACCATGATAGTGTTGGTGAGGAGCAATCTGTTGCCCTTCACAGTGGCGCCTTGTAGCTTCAGACCGGTCACAGAGAATGACCATTCTGTTTGAGCGTTCTCTGTTGGAGTGCCGGGGTCGGGGATGGTGACCTAAAAAGAGAAAATGAAGACATAGAAAGATCTATGAAAGTTTTAAAATCAGGACAATACAACCTTTTCTAAAATTTTCTAGTAATAATCTCCCGATAAGAAACCCAATTGCATTCACTTTAGTTATAGCTTTCTTGAATGTTTATGCAGTATATAAAGTATAGGTAAATAAGGACGACTTATAGTTTACCTGAAGATGCAGTTCCTCAAGAGACCAGGAATTGGCCTGAGCCACACACTGGCGGGTAGCGGTGATGTACGCTTCAGGGTTCAGTAGACCGCCCAGCCATACTGGGATACTCTGTGAAGGTAGCAAACAATATTAGAAACTAAATATACCAAATAATACAAAATTAAATGATTACGTGAATGCGTATTAGACACAGAGAAATCTTTTAATACACATACATACTCATTAGTGTTTTTTAAGTTTCTGGAAAATACGGGAGCATTTTAATCGAAATAAGATGCTTGCATTCACTTGTGACAACCATGTAAACTAGTAAAAATTGTTTTATTCTCTTGAAGTCTTTTTAAGCTTGGCTGACTGCTTCAAGTCTCAGGTTGTGCGGTCTTTTGACGACTTCTTTGATAAACAGTAAGCAGATAGTATTTTGATTAACCAACTACGTCAAACGCTGTGTGATTACGAGATCAAGCTCAAAATGTCCATAGTTCCATACACATCAAACACTAAATTCTAAAATGGCAAATCTTGTAGTACTCTGTTCTTTTTCAACAGAGTAAATAATGTAGTAGTGATCGTTAGAGTTAGTGTACCTGCAGTCGCTTGGCCCCCTGCGCGGCGACGGCGTCGGAGACGGCGGCGAGCTGCGTGACGCGGTGCGCGAAGTCGCCCACCCACTGCTGCACGGTGCAGCCGCGCGCCACCGCGTAGCGCCGCCAGCTGCCCGGCAGCATGCCGCGGACCAGCGCGCCCACCATCGCGCGCGTCTCGTTGGTCTGCTTCATCTCGCCCTGGACGAAGGAAAGGGTATACTTACAATTTGATCGAGGATAATAATGATGTAGTGATGTACATACAAATTTTGTTGAAAACTAATAATGTTTTCTCCAAAAGTTGAAAATACCGTTACGGGATACATTAGTTAGGCGTTCAGAAAGCAGTGTAAAGAAAATAATCTAACTGAAATTTAGTGGTCAGTCGTGATAATGGTGCTATCAAACGTCCAAAACAAAATGTAAAATATTCTTCAATCAATATCTAACATTTAAATGAAATATTCACACAGACCTTGTCGTCTAAAACATGATTAAATATTCTTACCTGACAAATAGAGAGAACGTTGCGCAGATCGTGCAACACTTGTTGCAGCAACGACGCACCGGCGGCGACCTCACGCTCGAAGAATCGGTACAGTGGGTCTTTGATATTCTCCACGGTACGACGCAATGTCTAGAAAAATAAAGTACGTGTATTATTGCAACAAAGTAATTGATTGATAATAAATTATGTAGCTTAAAAAAGTATTTGTTCTTACCGGCAACTGTTGCGGCAGTAGTTGCAACCAGTTGGTAGCAGTCGCATGTAATGTCTTCATCCAGGCGGGTCGGCCAGCGACCATAGAGTCTGTAATAAATTTCACATTATTATTTGACAGCTCTTTCTTTTCGTTTTATGTCATTATGTCATTAACGCCCGAATACTGAAAAGCTACTCAATAGTTGTACCTAATATTGCCATCTCTGTCATTTTAACAAGAATTTGTAGTGACAACACTATGCCGATGATCTGCAGATCTACACACAAGCTTCACTTCATGAATTACCAGATGCTGTTGCTCTAATTAACCGCGACATGGCACGAATTAGCGATTGGAGCATGAAATATGGCCTGCGTATTAACCCATCCAAAACACAGGTGACGGTTGTCGGCAGTTCAAGGGCTGTCTCCAGAATTGACTGGTCTACTCTTCCCCAAGTATCTCTGCTTAACACAAAAATTCCTTTTTCCTACGAAGTCAAGAACTTGGGGATTTATATTGACAGTACTCTCTCCTGGTCTAAACAGATGCAGGAGGTCAGTCGCAGAATGTTTGCCTCGGCGGGATCCTTGAGGCGTCTTCGAAATTTCTTGCCCACTACTACTAAAATTGCATTAGCACAATCCCTACTTCTACCAATCCTCGACTATGCTGATGCCAGCTATCTTGATCTCACCCAAGAACAATTAGACAAGCTTGAGCGCCTTCAAAATCTTTCTATCAGGTTTATATTTGGATTGCGCAAATATGACCATGTCTCCGAGTTCCGCAATAAGCTCAAATGGCTGCCTATTCGCCTTCGCCGGAATACTCACATTCTTTCACTTCTATACAATGTACTCTTTAATCCCACTACCCCTTTTTATCTAAAAGAGCGTTTTACGTACCTTGGCAACTCACATACGAAGTTTTTGAGATCATCGGAGAGCTTGAAATTAAACGTCTGTTTGCATTCCACTACATTTTTCGACAAGTCCTATACAGTACAAGCTGCACGGTTGTGGAATGCTCTACCGATTGCAGTGAGGCGAGCTCAAACCATTTCACAATTTAAAAAACTAGTTAAAGAATTTTATCTAACTTTATAGTTTTTTCTTGTCTCCTACTTAACATGGTAACACACGTACACATACATGCATAAACGCACACACGCACACTTACACACCATTATGTATTATGTTCTATTTTATTCTTATTTATTTAGTTATTTATTTATTTATTATAACTTTTATGTAGGCATATACATACATATATTTATTTATATATATATATATATTTTATACATATTATGGTTTACACTGTATTATTATTATTATTTTCTTTTTAAAGTCTTTAACTTGTACACTTGACGACCCATATCTAACTCCTATTACAGCTCCATCCAAAGGTTGTCTGTAAGAGATCGCCTTGTGCGATAAGACCGCCCATTGTGCACTATATTAATTGTTGTTTGTCCTATGTGTTTATGTGGTGTACAATAAAGAATATTATTATTATTATGTATGTCTTTACCATTCACGGGACCACAGGGTCCCGGTCATTTGGGAGGCATACGAGGGGCCGAAGCCAACTGCGCAGAGGCCCTTTAGACAACTTTAATATAAATGTAATGGACACACAAACCGGCGACTATCCCTGTATGCACTATGGAAATGCACCCAAGGACAGTCCCCGGTTAGTGTAGGACTATTGTGAATAATGGAAAAAAAGAACGTGGGGCTATGGATGGGTTGCTGTGGACTGGTAAATTGGGAACTATGGATGACTATGGCACCTGCCGAAACAATGTAATTTTTACACGTAAAAATGGCAGGCGGAGACTCGCCAACTCACCGACCGGGCCCCGGGAATGGTTGCTAGATATAGCAACAGAGGGGCAACGAGAATGTGAGTGGCTGAAGGGTTAAGAAACTACCACCGCTTTCTACTCAGATCATCTGCTCCAGCCGAAGCCTCCTGCATCCCTGGCCCACTCGCGACTTACGAATAGTTTCTTACCCTCCGAGCAGGATTACTGCTCTCGCGACTCCACTCTGGACGGCCAATGAAGGCAAGCCAGAGGTGGGAGACCTGTTCCTTGTCATCTTTCACTCCAGCCAGCCAATTAAGGCAAGCCGGAGAAGAAGGAACGGTGACTTCTCCCTGGAGCACTCGGGATGATGGTAGCCCGCGGGATCGCTAATGCCCGTCACCTCGCCTCAAGGTGCCCTGCGGGCTATTATTATTACATAAGTATGACTTAAAATTGACAGAGGCCTTGACTTAGAATTGCACGGTTAGCGCGACGGTTGGGAAACTTGCTGCCGCGCAACGTGTCGCGGGTTCGATTCCCGCTTATGAGATTCACAGATTGTTGTTCTGGGTCTGGGTGTCATGTGTATGTGAACTTGTATGTTTGTAAACGCACCTACGACACAGAAGAAAATCCTAGTGCGGGGCAACGTTTAAAAAAAAAACTATTGAGTGACATTTAAGTATTTGGATATTATACTCAACGCCTAATTACTTCCACGACAACTTAGAAGATGACTGCTAATATCACTCTGAATCTTATTAGGGGCTTCAATGTATAGTATCTAGCATTTGTAGTTAAGTTTGACATCATTTCAACGTACCTGCGACAGCGTCATGGTCCTGTGCAGCAGCGTTATAAGCCAGTTCTTCCTCATCCTCTAGTTGCTGCATCTTCAGGAGTTTGGACACCAAGTCGCTGCCTTGGTTTGTTAGGAGCACCTGTATAACATCATAGGTTTTTAGAAGTAAAAATGAGGTAGAGATTAAATGATATTTCCTATGGAGTGACATTTGAAAATGTATTAGCATTGGACAGCCCAATTTTTTCTGGTTCATGCTAGAATGCTTCAAATTTGGAAATTGACGGGTAATAGTTTATCAGATTATTCTTACCTTCTCAGCGTTATTCGGCAGTCCAAGCCATGATGGCGTCTGTCTGTCCGATAGATCTTCAATCCATTTCAGGAAGTGATCACGACGGTTACCGTCCGGCATCGTGATGTGACGTTGGTTGCCACTTGCCTGAAAACATAAAGCAATATTAGAAATGTTATTTTCATAATTTCTACTAAAAATGATTAGATTAGAAATGAGATGTTTACAAAGAGGTAAAGAACTCACATTTTGTTTAAAATATAATTTAAGAGACACCTTGATTAAATAAACATCGGTTCTAAAAGGGTTTAACAGCAGTAGGAAACTACAAAGTCAAGTTAAAAATACACAAAAAAATAAATAAATATACACACCCCATCAACATTAGCGACCAGCGCGAAGTCAGCTTCGAATGACTTGGGCGTGAATAGCTTGCAGAGGAAGGAGTGCAGCAGACGTTGGTCGAACGAGTTATCGATCTTGCCTCCGTAGATACACTGGGACAGGAGAGTGACCAGTGCCTCCCATGGTACCTTCTCTGGTGGCAGGTTGGTGCGACCCTGTTGGGTGGGAAACATTGTTAATTATAGTATTTAGTCAATTTTTATTACGATAAAAATATATACAGGGAATGTAAAAGTGAAATGATTAATGTTATAGGAAGCTCTTCTTCTTTAGTCTTCAAAGTCTTTTTTTTTTTAAGGGGGGAAAATCATCGAATGACTGCTCCCGCCTGGGTGAGGCGGAAGGGAGTGTCAGACTCTTCCTCAGACACCCCGTTCCTTCTCCTGCACGTCGAGCCGGAGCCCCGGTTACCTGTTAGGTTCTCCGCGGCGTCTTCAAAGTCTAAGACAAAACCATTTATTTCAATTAGGCCAGAAAGGTACTTTTCAACGTCAACGTCATCTTTTTCTGCTTCAGTCCTGGCTGCGTCTAGACTTGCAGGCATACTCTTTTTTAAACAATTTACATTGTAAATTACCACTCGATTATTTTTGAAATTGTATGATAAAAGTACCATAAGCACTTATTATGATATGAGGTTACTAACCATAGCAGTAGCATCGATCCATGTATCCAGAGTATCGCAAGCAACTCTCAGATCAGATTCATTGAACTCGTAGTACTTAGCCCAGCCGAGCGGCACGTAACGCAGACGTTCTTGTACGATACCTGGATTACAAAGAAAAACAAAAAGGTTATTTTCAAGTACCACTGGAAGTATTAGAGTCTTATTACTATTCACAGAAAAAAGAACTTTATATCAGAGTACATAAAAAATATATTACCGTGGAACCAAGCCAGTAAGAAGTACAGTCTTGCACGTTCCGATGGTTGTTTCATCATGCGCGCTGCCGGCACCTGCATACATACGTAAACAATCAATATAAATAATGTTGGTCAACTAATAAGTAATAATAAAACTATAACATAAGTAATTGCTAGTGAGATAACCAAGAGCATGGTACCTATAAATAGGCTGAGCCTAAATTGACTAGTTGTTCGAGTTACCTTGTCAAATAATTACGCGAAAAAAACGTAAAACAATTAATTGAATGTTCCTATTACATGGGACTCATAACATAAATGATGAAAAGTGGGAGTTACATTGTACAGTGGCATTAAGTGCCGTAATGTAATGTGTAAGAGCGTGATGTTATGTTATGTTCTACTTACAGTAGCGAAAGTCCTGAGCAGATTAGCCCTGATACCGGGCGGGGGTTCGAAGACCAGTACCCTGCCGGCTCGCAGTAAGTTGACGGGCAACTTGGGACTGATCTCCGTGGTCAGGAACAGTCTAAAGTTGGGGTGTGGCTGCAGGGAGTGCAGCTTCTTCTCCAGCTGTACCAACCATACAGGGGCCAGGTGCACGTTCTTTAGCATTACCCAGCTGATAAAAATAGAAAGATGTTGTACATTAATGGTTGTCTTAGATTGATAATGATTACGGAGCCGCGGAGGACTTAACGGGTTGCCGGGGCTCCAGTTCGAAATGCAGGAGTAGGAATGAGGTGGTTTTTAGTCAATAAGAACCTGTCACTGTCACTCCCTCTCGCCTCACCCGGGCGGAAGAAGTCATTGGATGATGTTTCCCCCCTCAAAAAAGGCTGATAATGGTGATGGATATCAATCAAACATTTAGAACAGTAGGGAATGCCCTACAAGGGAATGCCTTTGTACAATCACTCAAAAAATGCCTCAGCTGCCATTGTTGATGATGACAATGATTACAAAATTTATGTTTACAATGTAGACTTTCATTTAGATTTACTTAAACTTTTCTATTTTAATTACATATGACTTACCGTCCAGTCTTGCAGGCAGTATTGATGGCACGTTCTGCCTGGTTGAAACCTTCAGCGGAACCAATAGCTATGCTGGATAAAGGCTTGTTCAGTTCAGTTGCCATATCGTCCACACGACCTGTATAGAAATAAATAGATATAGAAAATTCACCCTTTCTCATAATAATAATACGATGATAATACGGCCTTATAGTTTCTGTCAAAAACTTCGATCGATCCATGGATTTAGGATTAAAATTTCAACAAGAGATAAACTTCAGACGCTACTATAGTTTCCTACAAACATTAATTAATGTTTTAAATAATTATATTTTTATCAAAATACAAACCACTAGCATCATATCCAGGCACGGAGCACAGTAACGCGGGCGTGGTAGCATTGAGCTGTGTTTCAGTGATGGACGCCAGGTCCAGCTCGGTCTCCGCCTTAGCCATGTACCCGGCGCCCAGTACTGCTGTAACTAGCTGAGTTGCTGCGGCTATTACACGGTCCGGACGGAATGCCTGAGGAGATTATAAAAATTAATATTATTAAGTACCAATTAACCAAGTTACTATTTAACTCTCCTTCAGTAAATATATATTATTATGTATATTTACTGCAAAAAGACTAAAAATATGACGAAACGTAAGTGTAAAAAATAATTACAAAGACGCGCATAGCATTGATAACCTTTTTAGTTGCGTTTAACACGCGTTGTTTGCACGTAAAATGTCGTGTTCACAAAGTCGAAGTGAAAGTCAAATAATTTATTTCAACTCATTTAAAATAGGCATTTTTGAAAATGAAACGAGAGAAGTATTTCCGTCAGTTTCCTTATTTGCCAAAATAGGTTTGTATGGAAAGAAAGCGAGCAAGAACCTCCATGGTCAGTATTGTCGACGAGTGAGTGAAGTACCTGTATGAGTAGCAGGCGGTACATGGCGAGTGTATGCGGCGCGGGCGGCGCGGCGGCGTCCCCGTCCCACAGCGTGGGCACGCACTGCTCGGGCGCCGCCTGCGACAGCCACGCCGCCAGCTCCGGCAACTCGCTCACCTTCGCCAGCAGGCGCCGGAACTGGGGCAGCCTAGAGCGATAACATTTTAAGAGCATTTAAAAACAGTAATCTATCCAAACATAACTATAATCATTTATAAATTTTAGACAAGGCTGTTTCCAGATGAACTGCAACACAGCAATAATTTTCAGTCAATATTCCACTGCAATGTATTTATTTTTATTTAGAGTTGACTAAAAATAGGTGATGCTGAATACTGGACATCGTACACGACTGCAGTCGACAGAGTGAAGTTCAAGTCAGGTTATTTTTTACAGTCCCCCTAGAAGGGATAAATTTTCTGTACCGTGATTAAGTCCAGCTTCTTAAAAATACCTATTTACTATTTGCCACAAATAAACGATACCACCCTTTCGTTAATAATAAAGTCAATAGTTTAGTAGACATTACTAACCTGGAGCTAAGTCTAGCAGCGGCATCATGTTGAGCATGCGTGAGAGGTTCGATAGGATCAGTGGTGGACACGAAGCCCTCCTTTCCTCCGAGGAACACACCGAAGGCGCGGTCGAGAGTATCCTCAGCGCCAGTACCCTTGAGCTGTATGCGACACAGCAGTAGTGCGAAGGTCAGCCGGTCTGTGTGGAGCATGCCGCGGGCTACTCGCTCGTATACCACCTGGTAACATTGAGATAAGGATTTTAGTTGGCTTTGAATCTGAATAATTTTATACTTATGGATTTTATACAGATAGAGGTGCTAAATTAACCCAGAATAGTTCATTTGCTACCATCAAGAAACTACATAGTAAATATTTGTATCCCTAATTTTAAAATTTTACTTATTCTTTCCCTTCAAAGGACGAAAGAACTTATGCTTCACAGCTCCATACGATACACATAATATCGAAAACTGTCATTGCTTGATTATTATAATATGTGAAATTATAGCAAAGTGGTGATTGCTCGTCTATAAATCTGTAAAAAATCTTTGAATTATGTGTAATAAAAAAAACATTCATCTAAGTACTTACAGCAAAAAGTTCTTCAGTGATGATCTTGAGCCTAGCAGTATAGTCAGTGATGCCACTGAGCATAGAACAAACGAGCACGGAGCTGAAGATGTCCAGGAACATCTTCAAAGAGTACTGGTAGAGGAAGTGTACTTGGTGGAGCGACTCCATCGTGAAGTAGATGCTGCTGCATGCCTGGAAATAAGTGTGGACATTAATTTATGATTATATCTTTATACCTAAGGATTGTGGAACCTTTGTGGCCGATTTTAGTAAAACATACTGTCCTCCACGTATTTTTTGGACAAAGAAAGACGAGTAAACATAAGTACATCATTTGATAGCAAGCAATGAACGTCACCTATGAACAATATTAATATAGAAATGGTAGTTATAAAATATGAACTATGAATCATATTTTTAAACAAACACAGCCATATAGATAAGCTTATGACGGTGCATATAGTAATATTTATTTCTTGAACACTTACTTGCGACAGCGGTAAGTACTGCTGGCTAACAGTTTCAATCTCAGCAATAACTTTGTCGGTCTCCTCGACCTTCTGTCCGATGTCATCGGCTTCCTTCTTCAAAGTCTCGAGGGTGGCAATGACGGAATCGTCGTCAAGGATCTTGCCCTTAGCATCGTTCAGAGCTTGGAGCAACGACTTCTCTAGCTGACGTAGACGGAGGTGGAACTCGCCTGGGAAAGGAGGATTTTATATAGCATTATTTCGAAACTATTTTTACTGGGATGGTTAGACTATACCATGATCATGCTTACATGCGGGTAAACGTTGATGTCTTATAGTACACAATGGTATCTAAGAAATAGTTCAACTACTGATCATTTTTATTTAACAACTAGCTTCTGCCCGGGACTTCGTACGCGCAATCCCGTCATAACAACCTTCTCCTGACAATAACAAACACAATTAAAAAAAAACAGCCAAATCGGTCTAGCCGTTCTCAAGTTATGGCGTGACAACGGGAAATGGGTTTCATATATAGACTAGCTGACCCGGCAAACTTTAGTTCAGCCAATCGCGAGATAATCGCGCACAAACATACATACGTACATACAGGTTAAACAGAGAACCACACGATTTCCATAAAACAAATACGAGCTTACCTTGAAGTTTGAGCAGGTCAGACCTCTTGGTATCAATATCAGGTCTCTCCGCCTTGAGCACTCTGTGCAAGCACTGAGACTGCAGCGAGGACCGCGTCACCGTGAAGTTCACGAATGTCACTCGAGAACACATGTCCGGAGGGAACTCTACTGTTGGGTCCCTAGAAGGAAAACAAGGCTTTTATTATATGAATACCACATAAAAAATCGTTTAACAGTAACCATATGTTATTAGTATTCATGATCGTCTCACTGCACAAACATAATAATATAGTCTTTGCGCAGGGGGTTTAGGGGTGAGAAACGCATATCTTTTCCACAGAATTTCCAATACCATTCAAACTTGCTTATCATCAAATCGAAAGGATGTTTCATTGTCGAATAAACTTTCGTTAAGTTTTAATTTACCTGGTACTAAGGAAGATGACGAATGACGGACTGAGATCAATATCCTGGTCTCCTAGGGTGATGAGCACACGGCCACCAGTACGACGGAGCTCTCTGTTCAGGACAGGGTTTAAGATCGGGTCGTAGTTTTCCACATCCTATAGAAATAAATTCCTTAAAAAACTGAATATAATGAAGCAATTGATAAATGACGAGTCACTTAAACGGACGTATGTCGGAGCGTAGACTACGCAAGACACAATGTGTTTTCTATTGTGTCTTAAATACCGATATCAAGAGGTTAATTAAGTTTTTATTTGTTTTGTTAATTTTATTAACATTGAAAGCCGTTCATTTTAGTTCATATGTGTTAGTGGTACATATTGCGCATAGTTGCGCAACTTGCGCATAATTGAATTATAATATTTTATGTTTTATGAATGATATTGTATATTTATTTTATGTTATAATTTAGTCATTTCACTTACTTGTACAAGTAGCGGGTTTCCGAAACGCAGGGCAGACTCCAGATTCTTCCTGAAGGAGTCGTCGAGGAAGGAGGTCTTCGTGATCTTGCGTTCCTTGAACTCCCGCATTATGAACTCTGTTGCTTGTCCAGAAGGATCGATGATCAGAGGGTAACGGTTGAAGCGCTAAAATAGAAACACGAATTTTTGAAATGTTCCATAAATTTAATATTACAAAACTATATGAATCAAATATAAATCAAATCAATTAAATTAGAAAACAGTTTTAAGAGAATACCAATAGAGAGGCTATGTTATTATTTTCAGACTTCAGAGTGCTACTATAGGTAAACAAATAAAATCTTAATTAATAAACTAAAATATCAGGTACTTATCATATCAGCTGACAGCTTAACATACTATATTTTAAAAACAAGAAAATTTTACTTACCCTTAGCATGATAGCGTTTTCCACACATAATTCGTCGGTAGGTAGTGCATTTGCCTGCCAGCGCAGTCGCTCGTCAGGGTTACTGAGATACTCCGTGCGAGCTATGTCTGCACGGTACTTGATGTTCGCAGCTGCTAAATGCGCTGTCCACGTCGTGAACAGATTTTGACGGTACTGGGAAACAGCATTTACATAATATTAATTAATTTCGCAAAATGTATTAATGTCTTTGCGCAAAGTATTACATTTAGCGCAATTTATTTAAATTGAACTTACACAAATTCTCCTTGTGTTGTGGGTGTGTAAATATCATATTAAGTGGCACATCCAGATGAAAAAACATTTGTGGACTACACTAAATTATTCATTTCACGCGGTTATTGAAACCATACCTTTTTGTCTTTGCTCAAAAATTAGTAGGAAAAGTATTAAGTTTTGCGCAAATGACTTTGATAATGGTAGTAATAGAAACATGCCACAAATACTCACGTGTTGATCGAAGTATCCACCATAAGCAATAAAGGCGGCGGACAGTAACACATCTCCGACAATGGTGCTCATTTGTGAGCGGAATGTCTCCGAGCTAGACTCCCAACGTTCACGTTCGATCACCAAACTCTTCAGTAGAGCGATAGATCTATCCACCTGTGGGTTAATTAAATAAATTGGTAAATAAGTAATGGGTTCCATTTATAACATAAGGGGGCCCAAATCTTTCCATATTAAACCTACTTCATGAACAGATGATAAAAATGTATTCAAGCGAAAATTAGAAACAAATCAGTCTTGTTTTTGAGGTCATCGCAAATAGCCAAGAATTTGTTGCAATATTTTGTAATAGAGTTTAACAGCAGACTTAGGCCATTCTAAGGGACATGTCAGACTTTGTATGCATAAATAATTTACCTTAGCCTGAACATTCTCCAGATCAGTCTTGATGGCTTGAGCTTGGCTAATGAGCTGAGCATATTCTTCCTTGTAGGACGCGATAGATTTCTCCAACTGTGCGATCAGCTCGCTAACTTCGTTGCCAGCTGTCACGTTGCTCTGTGCGCGGTCTTCTAAAGCCTTGAGTTCGTTGCGCAATGGTTCCACACGTTTCAACATGTCTGCGTATTCGATCTAGAAGAATAACAATAATTATTATATGATAAGTTTTAGCGGTGTTCATATGATATTTTATGGTTTTTCCTCCTTACCTGAGCGATAGCCCATTTCACCATAGGACCACAAGCCATACTGGCTCTGTTGACCTTCTCGAAGTTGTAATCAGGGTTGCAGAGGTAACGTGTCCTCATTTTCTCGCGAACATCGTCACTGGCAGCACACAATTGTACAATTAATATTGTGAATAGTTTCTTAGAGTTGATATTTTATCTTTATTACGTGCATCGTGCAATGTCAATGAACCAGACCATCTCAATGAATGACTTTGGACCTTGTACCAGAAGTTTCCATTTGTACGACACGGTGTTCTTACTGTCGGTCGAATTCATGTTTGTGTGGGAAAATCTTTAAAAAGAAAGCTTTTAAAGGTCGTACATGAAAGTAAATAAGTTTAAGTGCATATTATGTGTGTTTTAATTTTGAATTGCATTAGAAGTGTCAATTGTTATAATATCTTTAACATTAATTTGACCGTCAGTTCAATTTACACTGCAACCGCGTCCACCATGCAATCTCGTTGTTCCGTATTTACCTCTCTTATTATAATAACAGGACGTCACTTACCCACACAGCGAACAAAGATTCTAGAGATAAACACATTGCCTTCCCCTGCTCGAAGGACACATCAGATAGCAAACAAAACAAAATAAACATAAAATATTAAACAGAAACAAAACAAGCTGTTTCACCGTCGATAGTGAATTGGTTTCTCGGCGGCGGTTCGACACGAACATTATTTATTGGCAAATACATTCATGCGTCCTGTCTCTTGAATGTCGAGGTAATGTACGAGTATGGTGTATTGTGTATACTGACGCTGATCTTTCACAGCGTTTTTAGTACAAATAGTTACGTGTGTAATTAATAAATTAAAATATTGAGAATGGAACGGCTGTTTTAGAGATTAATTATCTACTTGTTGTATTAATTTGTTCAATGTCTAAGTGTAGTCTAAAATATGAACCTACCACCACATACGTACCAATTACCGATACATGCGCGTGCATCTAAAACGTCAATAAAATGCATACAAAATTAACATACCATGCGAGAAGCATGCAGCAAGCATAAATTTTGGCCTAACTTTTTATGCGAATTGCACGCGATTTTTATTTTTATTCGAGTTTAAAGAAGCATGATAATAAAAGAAAACGATGTGTATAATATATAAAAATCGTGTGAAACTAGCATTGGAATGCTCCGTGATCCATAGATCAAAGTCCTTATATACCACCACCAAACAAAACAGAGGGACAAGTGGGAGGGGTGGAAAACAAGCGGCGGTGCTCACGTTATGTCCTCGGTGGAGAAATTGGAGACGATGCTGTTGATGAAATTCTCCCGCATGATGACGGCGCGGATGGCCTTCCAGTCCGTCGCATTCTCCCCGAGGAGCAGGCAGATGGACTCCAGAGCGACCTTGACCAGCGCCGGCGGATTGCCCATAGATCTCACTTCCACCAAGTGCTGCTTCTTTATAGATTTGACCGCTGTACATTACACGGTCCAGTTTGCAGTATACGATGGCCGCCAGTCGAGTGCGTCGCGTCGCGTCCGTCACCAGCACGAAGCGAGAGCGAGAGAGTACAAAAAAGAGAGAAACAAAAAAGGCATTTAGCTGCTTCTGTGACACATGCGGCTGCCGATATTATATCACGGGTATACCGCAGCTACCGGCGCATGGCCCGGGGAAACTGTCAATAATTCCTTCACACTCAACATTTCTATATTATTCAATGAATCAATAACAATTTCCCACAGCCCAGTGCGCTATAACATAAATAATAAACGGTTTGTTTTTTAATTTCTGAAAAGAAACGGTTAAATACGTAATGTTAAAACAAAAATGTTAAATGTATCACGACGATGCTTAGCGGGGTTAGTCACGAGTATTCACTGTATATTAGTGTGCCTTACAATACATAGATGCCATTTTACATTACAGTGATCACAGCGTTACGTTTTTTTTTCTATATTAATAACAACAGTCACATAATGCAAGCGAGCTTAGCTTATTTACAACAACATATTCATCTATAAAATTCATTCAATAACAATAAAGAAAAACGTATAAGAATCGAATACATTAAAATGTTCTGTTTTGTGTCAAAACTTACAAAATATATCAAAAAGTTTATGTGTAACATAACAATCAAAATAGGTAACAAGGTAGGTAATGTTTTTGCCAATAAATATGACTAGGGTATTAGAACTAAGAAAAACTAGTTGCTATCTAGGATGTTGATCTCTAGAACATTACATTCATATCAAAAATATACTTTTTTTTTCAAAATCTGTTGAGATAGTATGTCGTGTTTCGCACCACGAATGCTTTGACAACGCATAAACGTTTTAAAGAAAAAAAAATGTTAGAAAAGGTGCACGACAGAGTATCATCAAGTACATAGAACAGACACTTCTAGACACTACACTCTTGTCCCGTAGCGTTCATAGCTATTTGGGTACAGACAACATCTAGAAGAGTGGAAGCGACCATAGTGCCATACAATAAACAAACTACGACATGCTATCTCAAGGAAATAATAGTAAAAACTAACGTGATGTTCTTTGTGTCGAAGTTAACGATGGTGGATATGAAGTTGTCCTTCATGACGACGGATCGGATGCTCTTCCATGTGTCTCCCTTCTCCCCCAGTAGGGTGCAGATGGACTCCAGCGCCATCTTGACGACGGAGGGGGGGTTGGCCATAGACCTCACCTCCACCAACTGCTGCTTCTTGATCGAGCGGACCGCTGTCGTATGGAAGTCGCTTCCAATTTAATACTAAATGTCGTTACACTCATGATCTTTTCAAACCTCATTATTTATTTTTCAATATTAAGTTACTTCATAAAAAGTTTTGTATTTATACCAATGAAGTTTGATACCATGACTATAACGACGCTGCTATAAATAAATACGTGCTTGATATCTGAATTGTTACTTTGTATAAAGAAACAGTTAAAAGGCAACTTAGCACACTATTGCAATCAGAAATCAACTGATAAAATAAATAAGTTTTACAAAAATCGAGGCATCTTTCTTGTGACTGCAAAATTCAAATGTTAGATCAAACTACTGACATTAAATCATTTGGTCAGCAACAAACTACTAAATGAATGGTTACGTAAACAGTGACTAAACGAGTAAATGGATCAACGTCATCGCCCATGATTTGGGACAAAACAAAAAAAAACCAAATGGATATAAAAAAATATACCGGTTTTAGTTCAAACAAGAGTACGTAATTTGGAATAAAAATATGAAGACGGACAATTTAATTAGACATACCGAAACGTCGTCTTGAATACATACATACATACATAACTTCACGCCTGTCTCCCATGGGGGTAGGCAGAGACTAAGGAACGCCAATTACTACGATTCTTACATACCTCTTTCGCTTCATTAACAGTCATCAATCTTTTCATGCATGCTCGTCGGTTAAGGGTACTTTTAATTTGGCCCTTCTTTAATATATCGCCAATCTGGTCACTATATGTCCGTCTAGGGCGCCCTCTACCGACGGCTCCATTCATATCCGCTCTGTATACTTCTTTCGTTACTCTACTTTCATCCATCCTTTCTACATGTCCAAACCAGCGTAACATTCCCTTTTCAATCCTTGTCACTACATCGTCTTTCAATCCACACCTCTCTCTAATAACACTATTTTTCACTCGATCACTCAATTTTAGTCCACACATACTTCTCAGGGCTCTCATTTCCACCGCATTAATCCTGCTTTCATGCTTCTTCTGCCACACCCATGATTCACTACCATACATAGCGTTGGTGTCAATACACACTGCATTACAGCAAGTCGAGCTTTGCTGGATATTTATTTTACTCGACATTACAGAGTGTAAAGCACCATTAACACTATTTCCCGCTTTCACTCTCCTTTCAATATCCCCGTTACACTTTCCATCTCTCGTAAATAGTGATCCCAGATACACAAATTCATTCACTTGTTCCAATTTTTCATCACCTATCATTACCTGACATTCTGTTATCACCTCATTTCTTTCTATCACCAACATTCGTCTTGTTCACATTTATTTTCATACCTTTCCTTTCAAATGCATCACTCATAGCAGTGACCATTTGTTGTAATTCTTGGGCCGAGGACGGCAACAAGCACCTGGTCGTCGGCATACAAACAATGTTTTAATCACTGTGTCATTCATCCTTAATCCAGGCTCTCCTACTTTCAGGTCGTTCAAACAACTGTCCATAAATAGGTTGAACAGCCAAGGAGATGCTACAAGCCTTGCCTAACACCGCGATTAATGTCAAACCACTCGTGTAGTCCCCCATTTATTCTGACACAGGCACTCGAGTCCTTATATAAGGATCTAAGTGCCCGAATCAGGTGGCTATCCACCCCATACATGGACAGAGTTGACCACAATTCATCCCTCACCACTCTGTCATAAGCCTTTTCTAGGTCTATAAAGGCACAAAATACCTTTTGGTGCTTTGATAACACTTTCTCTGAAATGCACCTTGAATAATCTTGTCGTCTTGCACGTCTTGAATAATCATTTCAAAATATTACCATGTTATTATTCATTAATTATTAACTCGTCGAGTACCGGTTTTATAGACACAATTAAAGAACAATAGGTCGCGGTCACCGGTGACCGCTTGGTGTTTGACAGTTTAATTACGACATTTAGATACCTATTCATAAAAACAAGACGTGACCTAATTACATTGTCCGTCAGTATATTTTACAGAAAAGCCCTTTAGCCTTTACATAATAAAATGTACAATAAACTATCAAGTAAGTTCTTTTATTTTCTCCAAATACAATGCAGTTGTAACTAAAACCGGTATAAAAATAAATGGATACCACATCATCATGCGAGTATTGTAAAGAGTCAAACCATTTTGCGCTTCAATGACGGCGGGCTCCACTTGCGCGAGGTCCGCCATTACATCGCGACGTTTCGCTTCTATCTCCTTCGTTTGTTTTTCTAGAGCCACCTGTATAATAAATAGTAGTTTAGAAATACATAATAATATTATGACTGAATCGTTGGCCGAGTGGTCAGGCAAAGTATTACTGGGTTTTTTAAATATTCTCAGTAGTAACACGGAGTGTGGAATTGTGCCCAGTATATGGCAATAGGCTCACCCCCTATTACATGGGACTCATAATATAAACAGTGAAAAGTGGGTGTTACATTGTACAGTGGTATAATGTGTACCTCTGCCTACCCCTTATTATGACTAAAGAAAAACATAATAAAGGACAGGTACAGGTTTTCGTAACGAGTCGCTTGTCGCTTCCACCTTTTAGCAGTTATATGAGTCCATGTTATACGGAGTAAATAGAGTATCATTACTCAAGCAAGTTGTTGCTAGTAACTGATGACGATTGTATCGTCATCAGTTACTTTTAATAGAAACGATTTTTATAAATCTGAATGTAGGTAATACTCGTAATAAAAAAGAAGTAGAAGATAAATAGTTCGTACCTGAATCTCTTGACTCTCAACCTTCTTCTTTTCAGCTTCTTGTTGGTCTTTTACCATCTGTCTCAGCTTGGCGTTAGCGGCTTCGTTCTTTTGTTGCAGTTCCTATATTGAAAAGTAAAATTAAATATACATGCCTCTCATTCTTCGAAGCATGGGTCAGTTTATTTATTACATATACAGGTCTATTTATTAAGTGTTATATATATATTTTCTTAGATTTTTGAGTAATTAGAATTTTCAGAACCTCAATAAGACTTTAAAAATGAATAATTAACCCCCTTTTTTAAGGAGAGAAAATCATCGAATGACTGCTCCCGCTTGGGTGAGGCAGGAGGGAGTGTCACTCTTACTGACTAAAAACCACCCCGTTCCTTCTCCTGCACTTCGAGCCGGAGCCCTGGTAACCCGTTAGGTTCTCCGCGACTCCGAAATAATTAACCCCTTAGTCAGCTCTTTTCTTCAAGAGTTTGTCAACATTCGGCTAAGATGTCAATTTAGTGTGCCAAAGATAAAGCGACATAGATAAAGTAGGTAATGTCATACCTGTGACTTGACAGCGAGACTCTTCTGCATCTCCTCGACCTGTTCGACAGTCTCCGCGATCTTGCCGAGACCGACGTTCAAGTGAAGCTGTTGTTCCTCTAAGTCCGCTCGCTTCTCCGCGTACAACTTCACCATTTGTTGGATAAAGTCTAGGTAGTGACTGAAATTAATTGAAAGAGATTGTTTAACTCGTTGAGTACTGTATTTATAGACACAATTAAAGAACAATAGGTTGCGGTCACCGGTGACCGCTCGGTGTTCGACAGTTTAATTGTTTGATTAAAAAATAAAGACTACCATTTGAAACATTGATATTAATTGTTTCTTCGAAAAACCTAACATTTAAATAAGAGACGTTATTATTTTCAACTTCAATTCTGAGTTCAATAACATCACGTGTGTTACTTAATAACAGCAACAATATTGATCATAATAAAGATGTTTACCAATCAGAGTATAGGAGGTAGGGTAGTTGTCTTATTAAAATATTAAAATTGTCAAAGAAACACATAACCCTTTTTAACAACTTCACAATACACTTGATAAAGATTCAAAGTAGTTTGCCATTGATGACTCTGTGGCGCTTCAACTTACCGAGGAGTAATAGCCATAGTACGGTTGGCTCTCTTGGCGAGACTAGCGTTAGCTCTATGTAAGGTCTGGTGTACATATACACAAGCGTTGACGACGGCCTCTCGGTGCGAGGGTCGCTCGCCCACCTCGCCGCACGCTGACGGGAAACCGTCCGGCGGTGTGTACTCGGCTGAGTCCAGGTCCATGCGCTGAGTGAATTCTTTACCCACCTGAAAGAAGTGTTAGAAAGGAAAAATGAACGACTAATATACATTTGAGTTCATATTTCTCAATAGTGAAATCAATCAATATGTTTAAAAGAATATTTGGGGAATGTCACAAGCAATAATAAATAATGGACAATGCAGTATTAAATGTTTTCTATTTATAAGTTGTATGGGAAAATAAAATATACATGCCAGGGCCTGTAATAACAGTTCAATGATGATGACAAAAAATTAAATAAGAGGGTTTTTTTAAGGGGGGAAAATCATCGAATGACTGTTCCCGTCTGGGTGAGGCGGGAGGGAGTGTCAGACTCTTACTGACTAAAAACCACCCCGTTCCTTCTCCAGCACGTCGAGCCGGTAACCCATTAGGTTCTCCGCGGCAAATAAGATCCGCGGGTTGTTTCTGATATCCAGTAGTAGCCAATATCAGTTTCTATTTAATTGACTTACTTGGAACAGAGCACCATCGCTCCAGTCCCCGAACCAGTTAAGCACACATCTGTTGAAGAGCGCGGGCGAGGTGGCGGCGCGGTCCTTCAGACCTTCCGACGAGGGGTTCATCGTGAACACTACGTGCAGGTTGCGCATTACTTGACCGGTGAACCTGGAATATAGAGAACAATAAATGTTACTCATGACATGGTTGATTCCTAGATGTATAGTTCAAAATCTTAAAAACATTATCTGTGACTTGACTTGTTGTGCCTCGTTGACCAAGTGGTCGCAAGTGCGGCCGGGCAAATGGTCTCGGGTTCGATTCCCGGGTCGGGCAAAGTATTGCTGAGTTTAAAAAAAAATCTCAGTAGTAGCACGAAGTCTGGGATTGCGCCCCGTGTATGGCAATACGCTCACCCCCTGTTACATGGGACTCATAACATAAATAGTGAAAACTCTATGCAGATATTTATTGTTGAAATTTACCATTTGTACAACTCGTCGTTGGAATCCAGCATCAAGCCTTCTCGCTGCGCTCCTTCTTTGCACTGAGTCATGAGTGCCGCAAACTCATCTCCTTCGAACAGACCAGGAACCTAAAAAGGGAACAAGACGATTGATAAAACTTTCCTTGATATAGAGGAAATGAGAATTTTGCATAAACTTCGAAAAAATTGTTAAGTTAATTGTCGTATTACAAATGTTTGTACTTAAGAGAAATGGTTTTTAATTTACATTTCATAACTTTTTTCTTTTGATAATTTTACACTAACATTTTGTATTTTTTTATGGAATAGGAGGCAAACGAGCAGACGTATCACCTGATAGCGATCAGCTCCGCCCATTTGACAAAATATTTAAAGCGCTTAGCATAATATAACCAGTTGGTGTCTAGTTGCCCACTGCTAAGCAAAGGCCTCTTGTCTTTATTTTAAACACAATGTGGTATTTTCACTGAACAACTCACCTCTCCGTTAGCCAACAGAGTGTTCATTCTTTCAAGGAACCCGCTGTCGAGTACGTTAGACTCGTCGAGTATGAAGGCCACCTTCTCATCGCGACACCCGGCGCGACGGAGCACTGAACGCAAGTCCTCGTCGAAGTCCGCACCCGTGTATTTGTTGTGCACCTGGGGACGTTAGATTAGAATATGAAAAATGGACTTTATGATAAGTAACATTGGGATTATTTTATGTTATGGTTCAATATGCATATATTGAGTGGTGCATTAACTTATGGGATTTTTAATTTGAATAGAAAACAATACTTTATGACTAGCGTCTTCCACTTTTCTCATTGAATTTTGTCTGAGTCATCAAGGTTGAAATGTCTCAAAAGCTGTTAACTAACATCTAGACCTTATATTTTGTCTATTTTTCTTTTTGAAAAGAGTGTTTTATACCACGACGGTGGTAAAAAAAAGCACACGGCCCACCTGATGGTAAGCGGTTACCGTCGCCTATGTACGCCTGCAACACTTGGGGCATTACATGCGTCTTGCCGACCCTTAAAAAACCTATTCACTGCCTTCTTGAAGAACCTCATGTACAACATGAGGTTCTTCAAGAAGTTCGCCCACTGGGAAATCCACGGCAGGGAGCTCATTCCACAATGGGAGGGTCCGTGGGAGAAAATTCCTCTGAAACCGAACTGTACGGGACCACTTCTAACAGAGTTTTAAACACAAACCTTAATCTGGAAGATGCTAAGTCCATTCATCCAGGCGACGAAGCGACTGAGCGTCGTTTTACCAGCGCCTGAGACTCCAATGAGTAACAGATGTCCCTGCGGCTGTCTGAAGATACGGTCGATACGTAACACGTGGTCCAGGACCTCGTCGAACAGTACCAGCGGCACGTCTAACTCTTCCTCGTAGAACACCTTGGGAGAAAATTAGGTATTAACATTCGTAAATTGAAATAAAAAAAAATAGTAAATATTTTTTTTTTCCTAGATAACAAATAGTAAATATTTTTTTTTTTAGTTTAAATATTTCATTTGTAAGTTGTCTGGTTCAATTACAAATTCCATAATCGCTGTACATTTTTGGATAAACATGACTTTATCTATATGACACTGGGAATCGAGATACAATATATTGTTACTGATTACAGGAATGTAAAAGCTATGTATTTTCTCAAATAAATTCACTACATCTCAAGTGTTACCAAAAGGAAAATAAAAATTTCGTTACGTGGTGAGTACGGTATAGTACAACAATATATTGTTCCATACCTTCAATCTAGCCTTCACATATTCACGCAGTTGATCTCTGTGTACTGGCACATAGTCCTTACTGAGCCAGTTACTGTACAGGATAGGACGAGCCAACGCCTGTTCTCTGTTAATACCTGAGAATAGTTAGACGTATTTGTTTAAGGTATCAAGGTTTTGAGATTTAGAAATTAGAAACAAAATTCTCCATTTAAATCTATTGCATTAATTTTAATTTGTTTTGTTATGGAAAATTCGAGAAATGGAATTTCAACTTTAAAATTAACAAAAATAGGTCCAATTTGCATTATTTACCTGGGAAGAACATCATAGCGACATTGTCGATGTTCTCGTCAGTCCATTGTCTTTCCGTGTCATCGACCAAACGATCTTGGAAGAGACGCAGAGCCTCGTGTGCCCATAACCTTACTAAGCCTTCGACGTTCAAGTTATCTAGGGGCCTGTAGTAGAAGAAAATACTTATAAATAAAGAATATGAAAATAAAAGCGCAGTATAGAGTTCTGACGATAAATCCTGGATTGGAATTATTTAACCCGCTCTGCTCGGTTCCAATTGATCGTAGCGTGATGTTAAAAAAAAAATTAATAATACAAAAATATATTTTCTAATCGGATCAGTAGTTCCTGAGATTAGCGCGTTCAAACAAACAAACACTCTTCAGCTTTATATAATACTAGCTTATGCCCGCGACTTTGTACGCGCAATCCCGTTTTCTCCCGTTTCCGTAGGATTTTTTGGATCTTTTCTGTCTTAAGAACCTTCTGTTGGCAAGCCAAGTACCCAGTTCTCCGTTGTATATGTCACCGATGACCCATGTAACAAATAATTATTAAGGTAGCATATAACATGTTTATCTTACCTAATAGCCTCGCAAATTCCCCGCACCCATCTGGTCATCTCTCTAGGCGAGTATACATAGTGCGGCTGCATATCCTGAGTGAATCTCTCCTGTGACGCCAGGTATAGCTTCACCATGGCCTGAGTCAGTGGCTCCGCGTACCCACGCAGGGCTGGCTGCATACGTAGCATGGCGCGGGTGAATGTGCCGTAGATCTGTGGTGATAAATAAAATTTAAGTTGCCACGTGCTAGATGGTGTCCGGCAGAGGGCGCGGTGGGCTAGATGCGCAAGTAGCAACACCGAGGCGAGTGCCAACGCTGGCCAGTAGGCTGCGCGACATCGCCGTCACCGCGCACGCTGCTCATGAGGAAGAACCCCTCTTTACGTGAGTAACCCGCGATTTTTATATTGTGTAATTTAGTATGTCTAACGATAGTTATTAAAACATGTGCTAGATAATAAATATATTGAATTAGGCTTGTGAACTGAGCCTTTTCTCGTTAGAACAAGAAATAAAACTACGTGACATGTCATACTTAATAAGATATTAACTCGAGTGTGATGTTTTTTGAGAACACGAAAAATTATGCCTGATCTGGACTTAACCTTAGTTTAACTTTTTGTAATCTGTTTCAAACCGTTTTAGCAATCATCACTCAATATTCATATTCTATTTAATGTATGAAATTCTGACTATTATCAAGTACCTGTTCCAAAGAAGTCTCTCCCGGGTAGTCGACGTATATGACAGGCACGTGTCGCAGTAGCCTGTGTGAGAGCGGTTTTCGTCCGGGGTCTGTGGGCGGGTTACACGCACCCACGAACTGAATGCGCTCCAAGTGGACCCATGAGTGATCTATTAAACAAGTGTAGAAGTGAATTATACTTAAATTTTTCGAAGTACATGCCTTAGAATAGTTATGGTTTAATTTAATAAAAAACAAAGGCTGATAATAATCTTGAGGATTCTATAATAAATATTAGACAATTTTTTTATAAAAAATTAAGTCCTGGTTTTTGAACAAGGGAAAGAAGAGTGAAATGAGAGGGAGAAAGGTATGGGAGTATGAGTGGAAAAAGATTGTAGGTGTGTGAAAGAGATGCGAATAGAATTTGCATACAGTAATCTGAGCACTAGCAGACAACTTACCACTGGCCCTGTAGAAGCCCTTATGTTCGAGTAACTGTCTCAAGAAGGAGATGACACGCTGAGTTCCGTACTGATCCATGTCCGGCAAGTTGATTTCGTCACAGAACAGTACTAGCCATTTGCCGAGCTGAAATAAACACGTAATTATCGACATTATTCATACATATAATAAGGCCTATTATACCAAAAATTTATATTATAACAAAAATATTAAAAACAAACAAATATGTATTTTAAAGCAGATGGGTTAAGGTAGAAAATCTTTTACCTGGACTGGAGCCAGAACAACTCCATTGGGAGTCTTTCTGTACTCGCAATAATGGTCAAAAGTCTTCAGCAATAGTTCAGGAGTAGTTGCTGAGGAGAAGTTCAGGCCGACAACTTCCATGTCTGGTAGAGCTCGGAGTGCAGAGAATAGGGTCATTGTTTTACCGGATCCAGGAGGACCGCAGAGTACTGTAGAAAGAATTGTTAATTTAAATTATCTTTTTTTTGTAGCGTCAGTATAATATGGACATTTCCAAGCTTTTAGATAAAGGCTTTGTTAAAGGTATACGCTTTGAGTAAAAACATAAAGACATACCAGTAACATTTCATGTTCATTATGATTTCAACAAAAAATATCGTCATACTTTAGCTAACCATACATTGTCTATACATTTATACAAAATCTCATCTTAAATAGGCAAGTACCCACTTGCCTTATTCAAAAATAAATTATTTTAATTTGCCCAACACACCCATTACCAATTAAAAATACGTACCCAGCGGTTTATGCTCAGCAAGCCAAGTATAGAGCAAGGCCTCGTGTCGCACTGTGTCCAGGGTGGGGACGACTACGTCAGGGGCCGCCACCTTGTGGGTCTCTACCTCTATCTGAGGGACCTTGGCTGACCATGGCACCCACTCGCCGGTTATTGCCACCTGGGTAATAAAGATAAATGATTGGAATAGGAAGATTTCTAGACAGGTTAATGCATTTCTAAAGGGGACACAACAATTGTTGAAATCTGTAAGTTTTTAAGAGATTTCACATTTGACACCGTAATTTTTTCTGATATTATTTTTAAAGATATTAAACTGTCAAACACCGCGAGAACACCGGTGACCGCAACCTATTGTTCTTTAATTTTGTCTATAATGACGGTACTCAAAGGGTTAATTACAAAAATATGTGTTCGATTGGGTGTAAATTCTTACCTCAAAGTCGATAATGTGCTGGTTAGCTCCACAGTTAGGCAACTGCATGGTGCTGGCAGATCGGATGAAGTCGCCGAGTTCATTGCGATCCTAAAACCAAAACATACATTTACAAAAAGAATCACAGCCTGTCGCCACACCACTCTTTGTGAAAGATAGGTGTGACATCAGCACAAGCCATCCCAATAATCTTCAAACTTATTCCTTTGCAATAAAGTTTAAAATTCATTTATAATTTTTAGGGTAGCTAGGCTGTCATCTCAAATTAATAATTTTCTACTAACCTTAAGTTTGGCATCACCGGCAAAGGACCATAACAGAGAGTATACAAGCCATTTTGGGACGTAAGCTTCTAGTTGTTCATTGGTGATCGGGAAGTCGGGGTGCTGACGGTTATATGCCAGGATGTTTCTGAAAAGGAAACAAGTTAGAATAGTTGTTCTTTTCTAAACTACCTGACTCTTTCTATACTTAAAAAAATGTATCATTTTGCCTATAGTTGTTTTAAATAAATTATAATATGAATTAAATAAGTTGAAATAAATAAGTTTATTTTGTCTATTATACTTGAGATAGACAGACACACATAGACAAACAACTAACCTGTTTTATAACTGAAGCTGTTTTTACACGTATTTAACTTACCTAACACCACGGTTAAGCATAGAATGCAGAGAAGACAGCGCTCTATGGCGCGTGAAGTCCATGATATGGTCGAGGCTGACCGCGCGTTCCAAACACTTCACGACCAAACCGTCGCCGAAGAACAGAGGTTGCAGTATAGCGGCTACATCACGTTGAGTCTGAGGATAAGAATAAAGTCAAACGATTTTGAATCTTATTTATAAGTGGCTGAAAGTGTTTTTTACCAATAGTGCAATAGTTACTACAGCTACAACTTACTTGTAAAGCAGGAGACAAGATATTTTCAGTGGCGTTCTGATCTCCTCCAGCAGTGGGCGCAGCCATCACGATGCTGAAGGAATCTTCTTCTCCATCTTCTAGTGGGATGTTTCTCAACCTAGGAGATATTTTTTGTTAGTTAAATTCATTATATTTTGTTCCCAATCTGAGCCGAATTTAATGACATTTTCGTGGGTTCATATGTTTGTTAGTGTCGTGGTGACCCGGAGGTTTACGACGCCCGCGTCCGTTCGAAACTTACCAACAGAAAGTACCAATGTGTCTTTTCCGAGTTATATGTACTTTCTAAGATTATTTAGACATCAGTGAGAGACAGTGCATGAAAACGTCGTGAGGAAACCTGGGCTTATAATTACTAAGTTTGAAATCGCCAACCCGCGTTGAGCAAGCGTGGTGATTAATGCTCAAACCTTCTCCGTGTGAGAAGAGGCCTTTGGTCAGCAGTGGGCACTTATAGGCTGTTGATGTAATGTGATATGTTTGTTACTTACCTCATAAGATAGTTCTCGAAGATCATTTCAGTTGTCAGCACATCTTGTGAGAACCAGACCATACCACAACGAGAGACTGTAGCTAGGGTAGCGTATTTCAGATCTTGTACCTGAAATAAAAGACAACAAGATATTATAATGCAATGAGCGACGTCGCCGCGACCGCGCACGCTGCTCATGAGGAAGAACCGCTCTGTGGTTCGAAACTAGTAGAGCTTTTCTCAGTATATTCACGTGAGTAACCCGCGATTTTAGTTAATTAAGATATTATAAAGTTCAAGGCAAACTACATAAGTGAACATTATGATTTGTAATTCTAATATATGGTCCTATAGCTATAGAAATCAAATTGGAATGTAAACAACCAATCAATACAGGCACATTTATAAAAAACTGATTTGCAATTTTTGTCCTTATAACTACAAAAATAAGAATCAAAATCCAATATTACTCACCTCAAACATCACTCGTACATTAGGAGGCAAAGACAGACGCTCTCCGTTTGGCAAAGTAAGTAGCTTGTTGTCATCAAGCACTGAGTTCAAGTTCTCCACCCATTCCGGATCTACGTCACCGTCGAATATAATCCATTGACGTTTGTTGATCTCACCACGGACGTTGTCGATGATTTTCCTGTAGAATATCGTTGGGACATTGTATGATTGTATAAAAAGTGTTAAAATAAATAAGGTTGCATTGCTGTCTGTCTAGGTGACTACTCTTTATGTTAAGAGTTCTTTATATGGACAACTGTTTACGACACACCAGTGTAAGAAGGACATAAGTATAAGAATTCATTGTAAAAATAAGGTGACATTGACGGCAACAGTTATATTGAAAGAAAGAAGGTCTTTTCCTGCCAAAACCACGATTAAAATATCAAGGGTATATTATTTAAATAAAGAATCACACAATATCAATCAAGAAATTTGTAATCTTTTAAAAATAAATGAATTCAAACCGTAAAATGTTTGCAAATTAAAAACTCTAAGATCGGAGTCATAATAAATGACTTTGTTCGCCATTACATGGACTAACAAAAAGGGCTGACAATGACAACTTACCTGAGTATATGTGTGAAGAGACCGTCAGTCCATTCACGAGTGTTAGGATCCAGTACACCGTAGAGTGTTTCTTTAGACATCGCCTTGGGGTCGATCACGTGAGCTACACCTTCCACACCTTCATATCTATAGAAACAAATTTATTTATTTATTTTTAAAAAAACGTTGCCCCACACTAGGATTATCTCCTGTGTCGTGGGTGCGTTTACAAACATACAAGTTCACATACACATGACACCCAGACCCGAAACAACAATTTGCGGATCACACAAAGTGTTGTTCCGTGCGGGAATCGAACCCGCGACACTTTGCACGGCAGCCGGTTGCCCAGCCACCGTACCAACCGTGCAGTCAAATGTGTGATGATTATGATAAATGCTTGACTATGAAGCAATAATTTCAAAATTACATTATTTCGTTAACGTATATTGTTAATGTATAAAACAAAATATTACAACCGATTACTTTGATTCTAGAATGACGCATGTAAAATACCAATAAATAAAACATTATAAAAAATAAACAACCGAGTGATTTGTCGCTTAAACCATAAGATGAAAACGTTTTTAAAAGTGATGACAAAAATATTACCTCTCAAGAGCTTTAAGCAGTACGCGCCACGCAGTAGACTTGCCACTTCCAGAAGGTCCGACCATCATGAGACCATGATTCAACTTGCAGATTTGGTATAATTGAAGGACCTGCACACATTATTACGACAATTAGTTCTCACTCAAAACATAAATCCATAACTCCTTTGTTTAACCTCTTGATTGCCAGTATACGAGAATAGTAGAGGCGGATTGGGCCTAGAAAGCACCGTTGGCAAGCACCTCATTGGTCCTTAATTTTTTTGGCACCGGTGCCATTCAATGCGGAGTTTTTGGTTCCTGGCGCCGAAAGCACTTGCCTAGTTTGCCTTAGGGATAATACGGGTCTGGAATTTAGCACATACGTTATGTCTCGTTTAGATCTATGTTCTGGCAAACAATCGGTTAATATAATTAGAATTATGGATATAACTTACATACATTTTAGCACGAAAGAGTAAAAGATTCAAAGTTAAATTCATAAGACATAATAAAAAGAACGAACGAGAAAGGAACTTCTCTAAACAGGAAGCTAAACAAAACATTTTGAACAAAATAAGGGAAAGTTGAAGCCCAAAAGATTTATCTAAATTTTACTTAGAAAATTCACAAGTTTCAGCACAGTGAATAGTTTGAGTAAATTGGGACAAGGATGCGTAAATTTCATTGTAAAAGTACATAAATGTTGATATTTTCTGAAGATTTGTTAAAGCAGTATTCAATTCAGTTTCTTTGACAGTGCATAACAATTCTAGTTAAGGGTATTAGTGACTAAACATCAATATTTATGCATGTAAGTATTTATAATGTAAATAGGAAAACTGTAATAAAAATATTGAGACAGTGACGTATTGACCAGGTGTAGTGGTGTGTTAGCTTAGAATGAAGTACAAGTCGTCATATGTGAATGGTGCCTGGAAAATATTAACGTTGATAGTTAATGGAGTACTCAACGCGGTTGACACTTTGAAGCTTCATACTCAAATAATAAATCAATGTAACTTAATTATTATATTTTTCGAACAGTAGTTACGCGATAATCGTCGCGTCGTGTGTAGCGGGGTGCTGTTCATAGATATAAGCTCTTGGATTGGCTCGTAATTGATCGAGTACTTCGTCAAACAGTTAAAGAGTAAGTTGAAACAAATGATTAAATTAGTATGCCCTACGAAAGTTACAACACAAAACTAGATAGATGTAGTTTTGTAAAATGGTGAGTGCTCCATTGACTATCAACTCCGTACCGAAATATCACACATTGCAACACAGTAAGGACACAGACACCCGGGGTCACTGACCTTCTCGATCCACGTGCTGTGTTCCGCGCGCGTCGATGCGCTGCGCCTCTACGTGCCGTTAGCGGGTTAGCATGGAAACGCATATGCATACACACTCACGTACTACCGTATTATGATATTTATAATAGGTAATATGCGTCTCACGAGACTGATTTTTACTTATAATCAATCAATGGTATATTTAAAAGTAAAAATAATAAAATTTTGGTAAAAACCAGCCTCATGTCATGGATAAAGCAAAATGTTAAATTGTTATGATCATCGTCGCATGAAATATAATATTTATTAATAAAATACAAGTTACATTTTTAGATATATTATAAAACTCATGACACACCATCACCTATCTGGTTAAATGATTTATATAAGTTATGAATGTTATTATATATTAATAAATTAATAATAATAATCAAACGACGTGCATAAAATGGATGGTGTTCAAACAAATTGACTGTGCAGTCAATGAGATGATTGTTTTCAGTTAATCCTTGACCAGTTAATTATTGGGGCATTCATTAGCAGATGGTGAAATATAGTACCTTGTCCATCCAGGTGGATCCCTGTTCGTCACCTTCTCCACAAACCAAGAACTCTTCGGCGCATACCGCACGGATCTCATTCTTCAATCCTGTTGGAAAACGTTGGCTTGTATTTCGAAGATGATTTACAGATTACGACATTACGAAAGAAAGAAGTAGTAATACGCATGACATCCTTTTTGAAAACTACCCCTTGATTCTAGCTATGTTTCATTAGAGTAGTGCTTAGTGCTGTGCTGTATACTTTTAATAGGGACCAAACTTCATAACATATTTTTGAAAGAACTATGAAAGAACTGACAGACAAACATGTTTTGTTGATTACATGCCAAAGTGGTATGTTTTTCTAAATAGAATAAATCAGTGACGGAGTACTTTCACGGAGGTTTAACGAGTTGAAGTCCTTTTGCTTTTAGTTTTCAGGGGCCTGCATCTTACACAATGCAATAGGGAAATTACGGTTTACACAATACTTGGATATAGATCAGCAGTTTTGCTCTTATGGTCTTTTTACTAACATTTCACATGGATCTTGGTTTAACTGTTCAATCCCTAAGCGCTCTCCACAAACTCTATTATAGACCTTATTTCCAATGTTTAGAGACTACTTTTGTATGAACAAATTTTGGTGATTTTCGGTACGATATATCAACGTATTAAGTAGAGACTTATTTTGTACGATACTCACCAGTCATCTCAGCCCTAGTATATCCAACGTTAGGGAAGACATCATTGAGTAATGAGAACAACAGCGGTATATCTTCGGCGACTAGTTTCGGCACCATAGTCTCACACACTGATTGGATCAAAATATCTTGTTCAGGCAAAGACTCAGCAATCGACGCCTCATCGGGAACTTCCGTACCACGTTCGATTAAATTCTCCTATAATACAAGAACAATGCTAAAGTATTTTAAACTCTATGTTTAGGTAAGTAAGGCAGGTTTTTGTTCAAAGCACATTTATGTAAGGTTTATAGAAAACAGACATATCAAGACACACAACAGTGAAGGGCAGTTGACTACTTTGAAATGTTTTTCAAGCTAAGAGGAAGCATATTTATAAATATAAAATTGTTTATATAAAGAAAAGTGGATATTGCCTACTTAGATATTTTCAGCCAAATTCATGCGAGAAGGACATTTAAATATACAGGGTGAGTTTTTAAAACACACTAATTGTAAATGGTATGGGTTCGCTTGAGACAATATGTATCAATTCAGATTAGATTCTTGCACATTTCATATAAAAACTCACCCTATAAAGCGTTTGATTGCGATAGAGTTCACCAAAGAATTGTTTATATTTGTAAAATCACCATTGGTGCCGATTTTCTACCTTTCATACAATTTATTACTATCTTTTACTGACTTGCAGTAAAAAAAGATGTCAAAGTTTTCACGTCACAAATGGAATTATCTTTGCATCTTTTTTCTCTATTAGTCTGTAAACAATAGTCATAAATTAAATCAAGTCGGTCGATATAGAAAAGAATCAGCGCCATTATCCTTTTTTTCTTTAAAAAAGTCAACTACCGTATTGTTATCATAGCTTACCATATTCTGAAAAGATTTTTCTAGTTTCTGTTTGTTCCGAGCATAAACAAACAAAACATGTTACAATTTATTCCATAAAACTTTGTTATTAACCAATTTTGGACCTTATGTTCAGCAAATAGCTTACATTATTGTGACAAGAGAATGAGTTCAGTTTTATCAAGTCTTGTCATATAATGTTTGTTCGTAAAGCCATGGAAAATGATGACTTATTTCTATTATGAATAGGGTTGTAATTACCTTGATCTTCTGAATACGGTCACGTTTCACGTTACCCGCAGACACGAGTACGGACTTGAGCGCTCGCAGTCCGAAGTCGTAATGCGATTGGTTGGACAACTGTTCGTCGCACAGTCTGTAATAGGGAAGAATAATTAATAATTACATTTAATTCTAGTATTTTACACGATATAACTTTAAAAAAATTAGAAGTAGTCCTTAAAGTAAAGCTTTAAGGTTGAAAATATAAATTTGATACTTGAAACTGAAACATATTGCACAGCAGCTGTTGCTTAAGTGTTCACATAGTGCTTTTGCAGGTTATGTATCATATCAAAACTGTTTATTGCAAAAACAAGACAAGTGGTTTTGATAAGTCATGGAGAATAAAAATGCCGCAATTCACTCATCATTGATGACTACGATCAACTATTTCATTAGAAGTATCCGACAACCGATGACTACGATCAACTATTTCATTAGAAGTATCCGATTTTCAGTTATAAAAGTCTTGGTTTAAAAACTACTAGGTTTAAAATAAATTGTTTCAACTTTTCAATGCAATAAATAATTAAAAAATAATCATACTCTCATCCATTGATTTGACAGTTCACCTACTTTTGGATTTTTTCTCGCTCATTTTAAGGAAATAAGTATGCTGCTTGACGCAGAAATAGGATGACGTCATAATTAGCGATCCAATACAAAATTCATAGAAAAGTAGCGTTTTTGACATTTCAATAAAAGTATTGAAGTCAACTACCATATTACTCACTTGAAGAAAGGCACAATCTTGCAGGCGAGTTTCTCAGCGGTCCTGAACCCTTGACTGAACAACATGACTTCAGCAATCAGCTGCCTGTCCGGAGTGGTCATGGCCAAGCTTCGGAACAACTTCTTCAAGTTGTCAGGCAAGTTGGAACGTCCAGCGTATCCAGGGTTCATTGTGATGAAGATTGCCATATCTTGGCTTACACGGACTTGTTTGCCGACCAGTTCCACTGTAATGGACTTGCCTAGAATAGAAAAAATAGTGTTGTAGATTAAATAGGTATTCAGCATTTCCGTAGGACTGTATTGCGTGACGAGCATCGCGCATTTTGTCGTTTGTCTTTGATATTTACTGGTGTTATCTCCTTCCTGGTGACTCTTGAGAGCTTCTTGGATGGTTTGCACCTGTTGGGAGACGGCTGACAACATTCTCTCTTCCAATCGATTGAACTCGTCGAAGCAACCCCAGGCTCCCACCTAAGGAGGAAATGAGTTGCTTAGTATGGCTATCACGACTATTTTTTCAAGAGTCATGACTGAAAAGGAGCACTGCTATGTCAAGAAGAATATTATTGGTGGTGGTTATTAGTGAAATCATGAGACAAAACTAAAAGATCTTATACCAACATAGAGATCAAACAAAACCGGACTTTATACCGTTGTATTAAAGTTCAAAATCCTAAAAATGTTCATGTGCCATTATTTTATTTAATGTTTGGTTTACCTGACAAAGACCGACGAAGATACGGCCCATGGCTTGGAAGTCGAAGGTTTCATCGCAGTTGAATACCAACACGAACCGACCGAGCTGGTTGCCGAGAGCTTTCACCGACTCCGTCTTACCAGTACCGGCGGGACCTAGGTAAGGGGTAAGTTTGTCAATTAAAAATACATAATAATGTTTATCTGCCTCACATGTGATAGTGAAATACCTTAATAGTAAAAGAAAATATTATCAAAAAGTAAATAAAACTTATTTCATCATACGTACCGAATGGTGATCCTCCAAGCCTGGCTTCCAAAGCCTGTGTCATGGTGAGGTAGCAGCGATCTGTCAGAGGAGTCTGTACCAGGCGGTCTTGTACTCCAAGGTATTCAAAGCCGTACAAGAATTTAGCGTTAGCCATGTGGATGGTGAGTTGTTGCAGCACCTAAAAGAAGAAAGGAACAAGGTTATTAAAATGACAAATTTGGAGAACATTTGGTCTTTTTATATCTTCGCAAGTTTTATGTTAAGCGCGAACATTTCAATGTTATGAGGCACACTATCACCAAGCGAGATAGTGGCCAAACGTCGGCCCATCAATATAAAAAAAGAATTAAAAGAAAATTAAAAGCTACATAGGTAGGACATATCTGTATTTCACTGTAAACTAGTTGAGTACTTACGTCATTATTTCTGGGGTCGAAGTAGAATCGCATCTCGCAGAGCCACTCGAAGGAGCGCGGGCTGTTCACGTCCGAGGCAATCAGGCGACGGGTCACCGTACGTTTGTGGACGAACTCGTTGATCTAGTGTAGAAAAGGTAAAAATACTATGATTTATGATTTTCAAACCTTCAGCCAAGCATAGAGGTTATGGACAAATCCTTTGATGTAGAGAAGGTTCATAGTCCGGTGGATGGGCATGGGCTGTAGACGTTATAAGCATAATTTTACATACTACTTTCGTCAAAAGTTGTAGGACGTACAGTTAAGCCATTTTCGATCCTAATCTTTTACTTAATAAAGTTGAAAATCAATAACACTAATACTATTGCAAGTCTTACCAAATGCTCAAGTTTCTTCCTCCTGAGTGGTGGTTGTTCCTGCAGTACGGAGTCAGCCAGAATGTTTAGCATGTTCTCCACGTGTGCTAGGACTCGCTTGAGTCCGTCTCCACCGCCGCTGGCTAAAGCTGCTTCCACGTCTTCCGACCAGAGTATCTGAGCCGCTAGGACTACGATTTGCGCCTGTTAACATTGACGATAAAATTAAGCCATATCATTATTACTTTCATCCTTCAAAGGAAAAGATGAATAATTATTTTATAATCTACGTTTAATAAAATCGGCTTCAACCCTCTTTTTTGAAGTCGGTTATTTAATATACTAAAACCTCCTAAGTGTAACAAACATTTTTCTGAAAACTGCATCAAAATCGGATCAGCCAATCGCGAGATATTTGTGCACCAACATACATGCAGGTCACACTGAGAAACTTGTTTGAAGTTGGTTAAAAATAGGTACTTATCTTGTAGGAGAAAGAATGATAGTAAACGTATCTTGGACAGTCTAAAGAGAAGAACCGTACTGGAAACTCAAGTTTTTTATAATAGCCCATTTTCAGAGCGAAGAGTTTTTTCAAAAATTGTTAAATGCCTCAAAAAATCTACGGACCGGGAGTTAATAACATATCTATCTCAAAAAATCATAGACCAGTATTCAATCTTACCTGATACTTATCGCACCAATCAATAAACTTCTGAGGGTCGACGTTTCCATCTTTGAACTGCTTGACATCACCTACGGCGTCCTTGAGGCGACAGGCCAAGGTCACGCGCATCTCTCGCTCCACCATCGATAGCCAGGAGTTGATCTTGGGATTCTCAATCGTTGATACTGGCGACGTGAAGTATACCTAGAAAAAACATGTTTAATGAGTAAACGAAAATGAATCTTGAAGCCCATTTCAACCGTATTTTTTCTTTATGCTGCTATCAGCCAACTCATGGAGGTTTATTAGGTGTTATATGGCACACCATGGAGGTTTTTTAGGTTAGAGAGAAAAAAAACGAAATAAAAGAAAAAGAAGATTAACTTAACTGAGTCCTTAACGGACGAGTTTGTTTTGCGTTTAAAGTAATCGAAACGAGACCGCGTACGGCGCTCTGATTGAGGGAGGGGGTCCAATGAACCAACCAATCACAGCGCCGAACGTGTTACAAAGTAAATGTTGGGTTACTAAATAATTATTATTACTGCTTAGCATGTAAATACCATCTTACCTCTTCACCCTCGCGGGAGGCAATACCATTGATAACGGTGTTGTCATCATTGAGTATGATGGCGGCGACGCCAGCGAACATCTTCTTGAAGTGCTTCTGTAGACGAGCGATGTTCTTGCTGTTACCGATGATTTCCAACAGATCTTCGTCTCCCACGAAGTAGAATCTATTAGTAAAAGGCTTTATTAATGAGGTTTTTTTCAAAATAAAACTGTGTAGTACTCAATAGCTACATAAATTAAATTGTGCAACAACCATGTCACCAACAGATAAATATTTTTTAATTCCTTTTTCTCTAGTTATCATACAAAACGAAAGTAGGTTGGAACCTGCATTACAGAGACAAGTAACAATCATACCTCGGGAAGCTGCTCCTTTCTCTTTCCAAGTATTCACCGAGCGCCTTCTGGATCTTTCCGAGCAAGTCGGCGAGACGTTCCAAAGAACGTTGTACTCCAGGAATGTTGAGCACGTCCATCACCATCGGAGACTTTCCGACTTTCTTCATCAGGCCCAAGAACTCGGAGCTAAAGGAAAATTAATACAAAACATTTCATAATATCGTCAGAGAATACAACATAGAAATAAAAAAAAATTGAAATATCTCAAGACTCTTAAATACGTTTAACTCTGTTACTTCGCTATTGACAAAGTGGTTGAGGCCACGTTAAGTCTCAAAGTCCGTAGAGGAGTTAGAACCGGACACATATTTTCTCGCGATTTCTAACATGCTTGAGTTATAGTGATAAATTGACAAGATCGATGTTTTAATAACGAACATTTTTATAGTAACATGGAAAATAAGAACTTTCGAAACATTTAATGCGAATCTTAGTGATTACCTGATGCTCTGGAAACGGCTCGTCTCGACAGGCAGCAAGGTCTTGATATCGGCGGATCCACTGAAGATTCCCTCCAGGTACACCCAGCGACGTTGGACGTCAATCCATACGTCGAACAGAGCATTGATACGGTTCAGCTTTTCTTCCCAAGTTAGGGCTTCCTCTTCGAACACCTTGGGTGTGAGAAATATTGATTAGTGATTTTAGTAAAAGTCTAGATTAAAAAAAAACTAATCTCTTGTTTGGTGTTTCTTCTTAGAATGTGAACTCTAAAAGTTCTATCTTTAAACATATTTACCGACTAAATGTAATTTATCAAACTACTGTAATTAATACGTTGATATATCGTACCGAAAATCCCCAAAATTTGTTCATACAAAAGTAGTCTCTAAATATCGGAAATAAGGTCTATAATGTAGTTAGTGGAGAGTGGTCACCGGTGACTGCTTGGGGATTGAGCAGCTACTATTTTGAGTAGTCACGTGTTACTGCATTACCTTGTAGTAAGGAGAGAGTTTCATAGCAGCGACGCTGTTGATGTGTTCCTTCACTTTGTTGAACAGGTCGTCCCAGCCGCGGATGATCTTGCATTTGTTCTGGTAGTTGATTAGGTCCAGTTCATAGCTCTGCCAGGACTCCCGCACCTAAAGATAAAACATGATATAAGAAATATAGATCAAAGTCGATATGTTTTTTTTTTTAAATGTAGTAGGATGAAACGTATTTAAAAGGGCTATATGGCATATTGGCATAAATAAACTACGGATAACTTAAGGTTGAGAATAGGGATGATAACAGGGTATGATAATTAAAAATCTAATTAGTCCGTCAGTTAAGTAATGAAAAAAATAGTCTAATAGACCAGTATTTTTTTATTTTGTCGCATAAGAAAACAATACTTACATAAAACGACTCAAAGTTTAGGAGCTACGTCATTTTAGAGTAGAAAAGTAACGTCATGCGATATTTCAAATCAGTATATCGCCGAAACTATTCATTTCCGTAAGAAAATAAAAACTACGTGTCTATTTTTCCAATTATCTACCAGACGGACATTGAAATAAAAATTAGTCATAGTGATTAGGCGTGCGTCGTAATAAGTGAATGGTTTACTGTTATCTTTTTGAAGGTGTCGGCTATGGCCTGTTTAATACGCAGAACTCGCGTTGCACCTGTCATGAAGTCTAAAATCCTTACCAATATTATAAATCTGAAAGTGAGTTTGTTTGTTTATTCGTTTGTTCCACCTTCACGCCGTAACTACTCAACCGATTACTTTGAATTTTTGTAGACGTAAAGTTAGAAGTCTGGATTAAATAATAGAGTACTTTTTAACTCGGAAAAATTTGATATTCCCGAGGAAAAACAAAAGAATTGGTATAGATAGCGCTGTGTGTATTGGTATTTGTCACATAGGCTACTTTTTCTTCTTTTATGACGCGAGCGAAGCTGCGGGTAAAAGCTAGTACGTTATAAATATAAAATTCATTTGCACGTCAAAAAACTAACCTGTTTCAAGAACTCCTCAAGCGCCATTTCTCCCTGTGCGACAGAGACTACATCCTTGACGGTATGTTCGTTGTGCAGTAGGTCGGCATCCCACACCTGTCCCAGCGTCAGTTCCGACAGAGACCAGTCGACTTTAAGGGCTCGGCATAGTTGGCGCCAGTGACGCTCCTTCAAAGCGTCTGACTTCAACTCCACTATCAACATGTTAACCTGGTAGCCGGAAAGAATAGTAGCTTGTTAGTATTACCACAAATGATAGTTTTGCATAAAATATCGTAGTGGGCTCAGCTTGTAATCAAGGGCTTCGGTGGAGCTCGAATGTAGATGAGGGATGTGTTCCGTAATATAATGATGTGAGTTCACTTGACATGAAATACCAGTACGCATTTTATACGTGTCTGTTCTGAGCAGCGCACTAAATGTATAGTAAACTTTCTTCACATTCGTCGAGTTTACGAATATTACATATAAAAAATTCTTCTCATTGAATTGTAATCTATTATGTATGTAGAAGTTTACCTTAGTATAGGACTGCAGTAGTTTGCGGACGTATTCGTAGCTGTCGTACATGCGGAGACGAGCCGGCAGCTCTTTGAGCTCGTTCAACATCGCCTCCAGTTGTTGCCTACATACAATAAATGCTTTACAATCAAATTCTTTCTTACACACTATGGCAGAACATATACTGAACTCGTATGTTTATTTTCTTAGCAGATCAAGTGACTCCGTTAAAAAATTATTTATTCGATTTTCAATTTTATTGTTTTAACACAAAGTGGAAAATCCAATGAAATAAAATCAGAGTGGAGCAGGTTGACCTGTAGGCGACTATAGACATTAGAGAGCACATCAAATTACGCCAAATGGATCAATTACTTCTTTATTGTTTTGTAATAAAATCCAAAATTGATTAAACAAGGAAACAGGAATGTATCTTTATTTTTTTTTTTTTAAGTTGTATATACCTGAGTTTCCTAGGCTGTACAGAGAGCCAAGGCTTCTCCCTGATATCGTCGATCTGAGTCCAAATCTTGCTGAGCGAAGACCACACTCCGCGCAAGTCCTGCAGCTCTTCAAGCGCTACTGTCATACGCTCGTTGTTGATTGAGCTTCCTACAACACAAAAATGAGAATATATCGCAATGAGTAATGGATTTGAGGATCTGTTTGACTTTTGGTAACCGAGTTTCGATTCTAAATGCAATGGAACAAAATACTGTACCGTGCAATTAGATCTATTGTACATGTATACTCTATAATTTTTGTTATGCTTTTTGTGATACACAATCAAGTATACAAATATAGACAAATAAATAACTGATTCGTTTTTTGACGATAACAACCGTCAGTTTGATCCATTGCTTGATTTGACTTTTTGCTGGTAAAAAGTGAGAGTTATTGCAAATGCCTTTCTGATCCTTCAGGAGACGGCAGATTTAATTTTGAACACGGAATGAACCTTGCCCACTGATATTAAAGGTCTATATTCCTTTGAAGATTATACTTATACAAAATCCACGAACTTACCAGTATCATGCAACTCAAGAGCTTCCTTAGCCTTAGCAACATTATCCCTCTCATCCTTAAGCCTGGTGTATCTGGTTTCCATCGCCTGCAGCCTGGCCAGAGCGTCCTCTGGTCTAGTGGACCCATCTGTGGGCTTGCTACGTTCCCACTCCGTTAAGAATTCAAGAGTACGAGCTTCAACGGCTTTGTCTTCTGCCACGATTTTTTGTTGGAGGGAGGCGACCTAGTGGGAGATTTTAAACTATTAAAGATCCATATAACACGAGAAAGTTTTGCATAACATTAATGTGTAAGAAAAGACACTATTTATCTTTTTTAAATATTTAATATAAAGATGTTTTTAACCTAACTACTAAGTAACAAATTTCAATACCTGAGTCTGAATAGAAGAGTCCTTCCTGCGCATTATCTCATTGAATGCACTCCATTCCCCTTCGATGTTATCTACATGCAGCCATTGCGCGGGGAATTGGAATCTATGAGTAACAAAATAAAGTTTAGATTAAATTGTACCCTCACACAGTTCTTATAAGCAAACATTAATAATATATGTACAATACATAGTGAGCCTTAAAACTTAACAAATAAAGTTTAAACTAGCTTACCTCTGTCTTTCCAGAATGCGTTGAGCTTCCCTGTAGATGTCGACTTGTTTCTCCCAGGCTAGTACTTCCCTCTTCAGCTGTTGCACGTAAGTAATGAGGGATACGGCATCACTGGTCGATGCGGCCTCTGTAGCAATTTACGGAGTGGTTAAGGTTGGTTAAAGATAAAATCGAGCTTGTGTAGTTAGTCTACTAAATTACAAAGTTAAATGACGAGAAAACGTTCAGATTGAATACGTTTAAACACAAAAGTGGTCAAGAGCCTTGAATAACAAAATTGGACGTGTGTTTCCAATTTTCAACACCTTTGAGCAGCATAAGAACTTATCAATTCGAAATCAGAACAAAATTAAGTGGGCATTTGCTACTGATAATAAAAAGCTTGTCTCTGAATAGGAGTATCATTCACGTCATACATAAATATTATATTAGGACTAGCGGACCCGACAGACGTTGTCCTGCATATAATATAATAATAGGTATAGATAAATAATCTAGAAACCGACTGCAGCGCCATCTGCCGAGCTGATTTGTGAATCTAAACCATTCCCAGATCCCCTTGAACACACACTAAAAATTTCATCAAAATCGGTCCAGTCGTTTGAGAGAAGTTCAGTGACATACACACTCACAGAAGAATTATATCTATAAATATAAGTAAATCATACCAATAGTCTGTTGTTCGAGCTGGCTCCTTGACTTGGCGAGCTGTGAGTGGAAGGTGACCATCTCTCCGCCCAGCAAGGCTCCGAACTTGCCGAGCACCTCCTTGTGCCAGGCGTCGTACTTCAGCGCTACTTTACTCTGGACGCGCGCGAAGTCTATCACTACGGGGCCGTATTCCCGGCGCGTGTCTGATGTATCGAACGTTGTGCGGGATTTTCTAGAAAGCGTGGTAAATTTAGTTACGAGGTAAATCTTCAGTATTTATAAATGCAGTGTACTACAAAATCAGGGATTATGTTTTGTTCTGTTGTAGCAAATATACACAATATAGGATAGTTCATAATCTAACATTCAAACAAAGTAAAATATTAGCTTACTTGATATCATTCAGACATTTGATCCAGAGAGTGATATCTTCACCGAGACGGCCGTACAGACTTTCAGGCTGCAGATCCCAGAGGGCTTGATAACTAAACAAAAGAATACAATATTTTGTAACAATGCATTCAAATATACACTAAAGTAACACGAATACAGTTTAAAATCCCTTACCGTAGCCATTCGTCGACATATTCGCGAACTTGAGAGATCTTCTGTTCGATGGCGTCGTATGCGTTCTCCAATGGAGATGATCCAGCGGGCAGTTTGGTCAGTAGGTTCCTGTAGGTCGCAGTTTGTGCCCGAGCCACGCCGACTTGGTATCTATTGCCAAATACAAGTGTTAAGTTAATATGGCCTTTGTCAGTAACACGTAAGGTTGATTTTCCTTTAATTGCAAATAAAATGTAGGAATACGTTAAAGAATTTATTATTTAAATAGGTTTTTGAAAGACAGTAGGTTTTGTTACTGTTTGTAGTGGCCAATTTCAGAAAAAAACCTTTCTTGAATGCTCTGTCAACCTCCCAATCATAAGACATCTTTTTTCATATCATTCATTTTAAAGCGTCTTTATATCATAAAAACTAAGGTTGATTTTCGATTGTGCCTCTATTACCTGGTGCTTTGCAAGCGATGCTGGCTAGTGACGATAGCTTGCCAGGCAAACATCTGCCGCATGAGTTGGAAGCGAGCCTCCTCCAGGGACGGGAACAGATACATCTGCTGGTTGGTAATGCGAACTTCGTGGACGACGCGGGCAATCTGTGTTATAAAGAAGATAAGTTTATTTCGTTATTGCATGTAAGCACATTGATACATTAGTTGTTTTATGAATTAAATATGAAGCACGTGTGAAGTTGTTCTGTGGTTTTTTTAATTAAGATAAAAGATTTGTTCAAGACGAAGACTCCGCTAAATAGAATAATCTATTCTAAATTTGCCACGCCCAACGATAAAGTGCCACGCCATTTGCATTCAAGAACTAATCGTGGTAGACCATTAAATGCAAGTCTGACAAACAGACACAATGTAACTAAATTGTAAAATAAAATAACAAAATAATGTTAATTAAACTGTCAAACACCGAGCGGTCACCGGTGACTGCAACCTATTGTTTTTTGTGTCTATAATGACGGTACTTAACGAGTTAAAACCGACTTCAACCCCGTCTTTTATTGAAGTCGGTTAATTAATATACTTAAACCTTTTCTTAAGTGTAATAAATACTTTTCTGAAAACTGCATCAAAATCAGTTCAGCCAATAGCATATATACACGTCAAAAGGAGAACCTCCTTTTTTGAAGTCGGTTAATTAAAAAAGAAATACTTGCCTGTGGTTCGCCACCAGGTTTGTGGGTAGGCTCAGTAGGAGAGTAGGTGTCCATAGACAGGTCCAGCTCATGACTCTTGCCGAGTAAAGCTGATGTCCACGCTTCAATACCGGCTTGCAGACGAGCCGCCAAGCTCTTCTCAACCTATGATAACAAATAAAAATAGTTTAGATATGACTTTTCGTAATGCAAATAAAAGGCATTTTGTCTTATTTGTACAACAACATAGCCTTTTTTTAAGGAGGGAAAATCATCGAATGACTGCTCCCGCCTGGGTGAGGCGGGACGGAGTGTCAGACTCTTACTGACTAAAAACCACCCCGTTCCTTCTCTTGCACGTCGAGCCGGAGCCCCGGTTACCCGTTAGGTTCTCCGCGACAACAACATAGCCTAAGTTACTATTTACTAAAGGGTGTTGTGTAAGAGCAAAAGAAGGATTGCAATATACAGATTTTTACAAAATTCACATTCGTCAAAGACTTTCGTGTTATTGTTGAGAAAGAACATTAAATAATTTGGTCGAATTTTCGACCACTCAACCAGCAAACACCGGCTACTATTGTAAAACCTTAATAAATTCGTTACCTCTTCATCAAGTCGTTGCACCCACAAATGCAAGTTGCTGTACTGTCGCAGCGACAGGTCGTCTATAGCGCGCTGCAGGCGACTAAGGATGTCCGCCAGGCTCACTGCGGAGTACGGACAGGTTTCCAGGGAACGAGCGTCCACTGAGATCTGTTCCTCTACTGCTAGTAGGTCTTCCACCTGTGGAGTGAAGGGCAGATTGTAATACGTGCTGTTTTTAAGGGGTGAAAATCATCCAATGACTGCTTCCGCCTGGGTGAGGCGGGAGGGAGTGTCAGACTCTTACTGACTTAAAACCACCCCGTTCCTACTCCTGCACTGCGAGGCGGAGGCCCGTAACCCGTTAGGTTCTCCGCGGCTCCGTAGATTGTAATACGTGTGTTGGAAAAATTGTGGGTAAGTTTACGCAGTTTTAAATTAAATTGGTATTAAACACTAATTATTGTGTTTTTTAAAATGAAAGAAAAAGAGTTCTCTTCTTAGTGAGCAGTAGTGAAATACTCAAACGCTTCTAATTTTAAGCCGCGCTTAAGTCTAGTTATGTCACTACAAATTCTTAGTAAAATGTCAGAGATGACGCGATGTACAACTTTGTCTTTTAGTATTCGGGCGTCAATCGTTTACAGTAAAAAAATGTTTGACAAGAATAAAAATGGTGTCATTTGTAGTGACTACTCTTTGTAGTGACTTCTAGGAGTTGACAAATGAGTACCCTCCATCTTTATATTACAGTCAACTAGATAGTAACAGATTGTTTCAGGATTATATTCATACAGCACATTTTTGACTATAATATTGATGACGATAAAATGACTAGTATTCTGATATTTACTACAATAAATATTGTATACTCACTTTCTCTTGGAACAGAAGCACGACTTCACTTAGCTTCTGAACATAAGGATCCAGTTTGTATGACTCCCATACAAGAGCCATGCCTTCAGACACTTGGTTCAGTACATCACGACGCAGACCAGCCACCAGTGGAATTATAGACGCCTTGTCGCGGATCTAAATATATTTAAAAACATTATAGTATGGTAGAACTAAAGGTATTTTAGAGAAAATTATATTGGGTTAACTTAAAGGGTCAACTTAAATGTCACATGAAATAAAATAAAGCGGTAAAAGGTATACAATAAAATATTGAAAGCTAAAAATGTTTGATTTAGGAAACTATGGTTGTAGGTAAGTGTCGATTTTAATACTGAACTTATTTTGTGAACAAAATCATAGTTCAGATGCTTTCCGAATCTCAACTGTTTTTAAATTTTGCGCAAGTAACAACCTATCGCTAGGTTTTTACTTTTATAGAAATAATAACTATTTTATATGCGTACGTATATAAGGGCAAAATCACACATAGTTTATATGCGTACGTATATAAGGGCAAAATCACACATAGTTTCTCAAAACAAACCTCTAATCTAATAACAATAAAAAAGAAAATAATAAAAATCATAGTGAATAGAGGTGTTTCTAAATATGAAAACGAAAAAAAAAAACAAAACACATCGACAATCAGTCATGCAGCCTATAAAGTCATAAACTACCTTGGTATGATTCCTATTATTTAGCTGCACAAATGAAAAGGCACCCGTGTTAGTGTCACATATACGCACATACAACAAATATAGTTATTAACGTTTTAACCGCCATAATCGGTTAAAGACGACAAACAAATTTTACATACAATAACAAACAACTTTTTGAAAATCGAATCGGAATTAAAATCGGTTCAGCCAATCGCGAGATAATGGCGGACAAACATACATACGTGCAGGTCGAGTTAAGTCTCTTTCTTCTTCGGTTGTCTTCTTTTTGAAGTCGGTTATAAATACATTGTTTGCCAGTGGCTGATTGACCAAGTTTTTGTCTGTCGTCTGTACCCGAAAATGATTGTTAAAAGTTTAAAATATATTTATAGTGATAGTTTTAAAAATCAAGTGTTTGTGCGAATATCGTGTTATGTTCTAGTGCTTAAAATCTGTGAATTCACACTGTTGGTTCTAGAATATTCGTTTTGTTACCTTCTCGAGCGTTCGTTCGTAAGTCCTCACGCTTTCGATGAGAGATATTGCGAAGGGATACAGTTGGTTCGCTTGATGAGCCTTGTTCACTATGGCAAGTGGTACCCTGTGAAAAAAAATGTATTGATTTGTATGACGTCATTGTAAGTAGAATCAAGGTAAGTGAAGTCTTTATTTACTTCTAGACTAAATCAGGAGTATTGTGTTGAAAATTAAATATTTGATATGACTAAAATATTGGAAAGCATTCATTCTTCATTAATTGCAAAAAGGTTACAATGGTTCAAAGGAAATTAAACGTAATATTATGCGCTATAAAGTTGTTATTCAAATACCAAAAACTAGTTACCTGAATCCAAGGTTTTTCAGATTGCGCACTTCTTTATAGAGCGTGATAATCTCAGGTAAGAAGTTGACCTTCAGCTTCAATATGGTGCCGGTTTTGCTAGAGCGAGCACGAACTGACTCAATAGCGAAGATACGGCCAGAGACGCCTAAATTACGTTGTTGAACCTTAGAAGAAAAAATATAAATTTACTTCCGCGATCAAGGCAATAATAACTTTATTCTTTGAGGATTATGGCTGTTTATCGTACCTTGCGAGCCCAATCATCAAAGACTTCTTGTGTGTCCAGTTTAAGACGGAAACTGTCACCATCGGCTTTAAGTTTCTGACCTTCAATGTGATTCTCCCATCCTTTACCTATTCGATATTGAAAAGTGATTAGCATTTAATATGTTTTTTAATCCAATAGTATAAGGTACGTATTTGATAGGCAACAATAGCTTACCCAGTACATCCTCAACTCTTTTTAAGTACGCCGTGAGTTGGTGGTCGATCTGCTTCGCCCAAATAATGGAACCAGCCACGGGCGGCAGATCGCGCACCAAAGACAATCGACTGCACTTCGATTGAGGATATTGTACCTAAATAACAAAGCATGTCCTATTATTATCAAGTTAGATGATCAAACTAAGGTGAAGAGACTAGGGATAGTTCAATTATCAGGATTGTTAGCTTAAGACGAGCCGTCAACCAAAAGTACGATCATGGCCCTGAAATCAATTTGAATTTGAGGTTTGCTAAAACTTTCACCTTTGGTAGATGGCTTGTGGAACCATATATACTTAGAATAACATAATAGCTAATTTTATCCAGAAAAAATCATTTCTTGGGACTTGGAACTAAGGAAATAATAGGTAAGTAGAATATAATAAAATAATTACCTTAAATTTCTCATGTAAAGTTTCGATATCGTCCTTGACTCTCTGTATTAGTTGTGTTTGGTACTCTCGAATGGCGCCTCGGATGTGTGGACGTACGAACAATGCGTTGAAGCGGGAGAAGATGCGGAACATTTCGTTCGCGTTCTTCGCTGTTCCTAGCTGGTCGCGGAGGTGAGCTGTGATGCGGGTCTCCACGCGGTCTGGAGATAGAATGGTTGTATTAGTTAAAGAAAACTAAATATGTTCTTATCCTATAGTAACCGACCGCTACTATACTAGCGGTAGGTACGCAGCCCGCAGACATTTTACTTAGGTTTTGTAAGTACGGGAATGTTTTGTAAGTAGCAGATCACAAGAATTCTGATAAACCATGGTATTGAATCGGGCTTTCAGACCGCTATCACTAGGCACTTGTATGCCAAACCGCTGTTGTGTAGAGTAAATATGTCTAACAAAGAATATGAATGGCGATTATTTATTTAAATAAGTAGATACTGTATATTTTACCTTATCTGTAAGATACTGGTCTTAAATAATTCGCTGAAAAAAAAAACATACGTACACCTAATAAAAGGAGACGGTACTTACCGATTCTATCTTCATAGCGTCTGACCGCCGCCTCCCAAGCATCACAGCCCTCGCGGGATATATCCAGACAATCTACCTCCTTCACATTCTCGTACGCGAGGTTCACCTGAATCACAAATTATTATTATAGTTAAATATTTTATACATAAATACATAACATCACGCCTTTTATCCCCGAAGGGGTAGGCAGAGGTGCACACAGAAGTAACACCCACTTTTCACTATTTATGTTATGAGTCCCATGTAATAGGGGGTGAGCCTATTGCCATCTACTGGGCACATTTCTAGACTCCGAGATACCACTGAGATTTAAAAAAAAGCTCAGTAATACTTTTCCCTGACCCGGGAATCGAACCCGAGACCCCTTGCCGGGACCCTTGCCTTGGTCGCAAGTGCGACTACCGCGCACTTGCGACCACTCGGCCATCGAGGCAGTCGAGGCAAAAAAAATTTATATTGTGGCAAATTTCCAAAATGAGAAACGAAATAGTAGTACATTACCTCTGCAATGGCGTTAGCGTCAGCTGCATCCATGGGTAGAGAATGTGGCTGCGCGGGCTCCCCGCCCGCGCCCGCGTCCGTCGCCACTGTCGCGCGGGGGCGGAGCACCTACCACAACACACAGATTGAAATACAACAATATCGGCACTGATTCACACAGATAACTAGTTATTACACAGAAATAAGACTACGAAATGCCATGGTTAGTTAGACAACCAGGTACTAAAATATCTTACCCTGAGCATGACAGTGCGCAGTTGTTCATGATGCCTGCGGAACCGTCGCATGTGTTCCATGCGCGCCTGCAGTCGCTTGTGTGACGGAGACACGCGCCATACCATCTTCAGGTGCTCGTCTCGCTTCTTCTTTACTATATCTCTGTGTACATGTACACAATATTTATGTATAAGTACTTAATTCATGGAGATACTTTCCAACAGTACGAGAAATAAAGGATAGTTTCACATTGGCTATCATTATTTTAGATTCAATTTGGTGGCCCATAATTTTTCAATAAAGGAATAGAAACAAGTTTTACATGCATACACATACTTTAATTAAATCTGGAGTTTGGTGATGTCAAGATAGAAAAACATGAAATGACTACCTGAGGCGAGAAAGAATGCGAGACTCATACTGTCTAAAAATTTGCCTAATTGATTTTACCATAAATTAGTATTGAATATATTATATCTCACCGCAGCAATCCTTGCAGTTTTTCGTACTCGTCGTCCCAGCAGGAGAACACTTCGAAGCACTGAGTCATCACACGCTCGAAGTCTTCAAACGGAATATGCATCAGCCGGCGCGTACCAAGCACCTGTATAGAACAATATTTTTTAAGAAAAACTCACAATGCCTTGATGGTTTCAGTTAGATTATTTAGAAGTATTTAGTCCTCTTTTATATTAAAGATTATATTAGCCTATGTCCAATTTTAAACTTGTTTCTAATGACATAAAAGTCTTGAGACACGATAATAAAATGAACCTGGGAATAACACGCACGACGTTATGATTATCAAGACTTACCTTAAGGAGTTGCTGTCCGAGATCACGCGAGATAGCCTCGACGAGTCTCAAACCACGTTGGATAGGGTATTTAGTAGAACGAATCTTCCGTAGGTGGGAGAAAATCTGCTGTACTGCCAATCTGTTCGCAAAGACAAAAAATGACAATACATTTATACAGCCTCTTCATAAAATAAAAGTTGCTATCTTATGTTCAAACTAGCTGTTGCCCACGACTTCGTCCGCGTAGAATAACGATTCACAGCTCTTTTCCCGTACATGATAGCGTGATAATATGTAGCCTATATGTTGACCCGACCTCTTAGTAATATTCTTGCAAAATTTGAAATAAATCCATGCAGTACTTTTTGCGATCATCCCGGACGTACATACAGAGAAACAGACAAAAATTCTAAATACCATATTTTCAGCTTCGGTATCGATGGTAGATCACGCCACAAATATTCTTTTAAAAAATATTAAATTAATTATAAATTGATTTTTCTACGATTTTATTATAATGTATAGAAAATATTTTAATTACCTGATCCTTTCCAGTTCAGTGGCACTAAGCAGATCATTGATAGGGAAGTCTTTCATGAGAGGGTTGTAGTCCGAGACTGTTGCAAGAGCTTGCTTCAGTCCGGTGTCCGTATCAAAGGATACTGTTGCATGGAACCGCTTACCATACTTCAGTATCTCTAAGGTTAGGGCAACCTGAAATTATAAGGAGTGTAAGTACAAAATATTTAAAGACAGTTGTAAAACTTTTTTAATTACGATTGACTTTATTGTATTTGCAACCAATATATTGTCTACCAATGTTGGTATTGGGTGTTGGCACCAATACATGGCCAACTGCATACCTAATGCATCATAATATGCAAATGAATGAGTAAGAGATATACATAAAACTAATATGGATTGAATGTCAGTTGTGAGTTGCCAACAAGAATACAAAAAGAATTATTATGCTAATTGGATATATTATGTTAGAAGTAAAGCTTTATAAATATTATAACAAACCTCGATGCTTTCTCGTTTCTCTTGGATTCGATGGAGAGCTCTTTCCAAGTTGAGCCAGAAGGAGATTTCTTGAAGAGCCGTTCCATTGGAAGGATCTCGATCCAATTTGGTGACCTAAAATATTAAGTAGAGTGTTAGTTAGTAAAAGGTCTCCTTATTGGTTCCTGTCCTGCTATAGGTCATACAAATCATCATCATCATATCAGCCACAGGACGTCCATTGCTGAATGTAGGACTCATCCAATGACTTCCAGATAGGCCGGTTGGAAGCAAACTGTATCCAGTGGATCTCTGTGACCTTAATCATGCAAATGCTTAATCAAATTTACAATAACATGAGGTTAAGTTCCCATATCTCCCAAATGCTTGTATTTAATTATTTTTTGCTATAATTGAGTAAATTATTTAAGTTTATTAAAATTAATCTAAAGAGTGTTACTTACTTTTTGTATTTCTTTGATCCATCGGTTGACTCCATTCTGCAGTTGATTGAGGAATGTTGAGTCTTCCACCTTGTCTCCGAAGTCAGCGACACGAGGTTTGCGCCCTTCATCTGCAGCTCTGTTGCAAGAAAGTATTATATATAAGTTTTAAATGTAATCTTAAAGTATTGTCGTTTGCAGAATTTAAAAGAACATAAATTATTATAATCTGTGAATAGTTTTCTTATTGGAAAGTATTGTACCTTTTGATGACAGCAGCTACAAGGGGATGAACAGGTAGGGTGATCTCAGGGATATCAATGTTTTGTTGGAGGTGAAGAAGTCCCATCTCCAACTCCGCAATCTTCTTCTCCACTGATGGAGCCATTTTGTCTCCATCCCTATAATATACACACATTTGATTGATGTCTTAAGATAATGTAGAAGAATATTTGTAAGTTACATTGCATACAAGGTGTCAAAATTCGTAAATATTTTTTCTCATTAATTTAATCACTATCAAAACTAATCATTGTTGCTGTTACCTGTCAGCTCTACCACTCTCTTTAACATAACTCTTGAAGAACGGAGCCATGGTTTTGCTAATGAAAGCATGAAGAGTTTCATAAGGGGAGCCATCCGACAGGTTGATGAGACGCAGCTGACTGTGGATGGACTTGTCAGCTTCTATGACCGCTCCACGCTTGATACATACAAAAGCTGCCACCCGGGAGGATGAGAAGTGAACCTAGAGACAATTACAACAAGTTATTAAGTTCGTTATTTTTTTAAATAAGACTGTAAAATATTAATGTGTAACAACTACAACATATTTTATAATTTACCTCATTACTGATTTGGTAAGTAACTGCTTCTTTCTCTTCTTCACCTTCAGTTGGCTGTTCACTGTCATCTTCTAAAATTATAATAAAATGTGTTTTACTAAAATACAAATATTTTGAATAGACCCCTACTTCATAAAATGGAAATAAGACATTTTATTGCGAATTTTTTGCAGCATGACTTTATAGTCGACTAATGACTATAGCGTGCATAGTTGTATGATATAATACTGCAGCAATGCAGGTAGAAAGTTGACAAACTATATAGACTGATGAATAAAAAATGGGGTGATGTCACATACCTTTGGAAGAAAACCTTTGCACGTACAGTGAAGACACCTGAGGGTCTGAGAAGAATTTTCGAATGCAATCTTGGTTCACTTTATCGTCCAAAGCAGCGTTTAAAGCCGGTGGAACTATATCATCTTCAGGCAAAAGTACCGTTGCGGCTCTGCGCAAGTAGTTCGCAAAGTCTTGGAAGTCCACAACGACGACATTTTGCGACTCAGGTGAATTCTCACTTCCATCTAAAGAGTCTCCCATGATGTATTTGGGAGATCTCTAATATTCTAATAAGAATCAATAAAGTTTTTGGGAAATCGGCCGCAAATAGTTGCAAATAGCAGCCGTCAATCGAAGTGAATGATGACGCATCGAAAAGTGTTGTAACATAGAAAAATAATTGACAGCTGTTCGTTACTTTTGTTATTTAATGCGGATTTTGGACAATAGCTAAAATAGTTTATTATTCTGATTATACTTTTAAAATAATGCAAATAATATTCACAATACTTTATAGTATAAATCGATTACTAACACAAAGATAAATATATTTTACGAGGATAATTTTTTTATTTGGCAATTTTGTTCACCACAGATAAGGTAGAAATGACATTCTATTACGTTTAGTTTTTCTGCTTCAAGTTGCAAGGAAGTTTTCTAAATAAGCCGTGTCTAGAATAAGCACGAGAACAAGAATTCACTGCTGACTTTGTTATATTAGAGTAATAGTTAAAGAAGAACTCAAGAACTATATAGAAGAAGAATATTATTGTATCTTATTAAAATGACCTCTAATATTCTATGTTAATCACGGTTTTCGTCCCTTGAGCGGGTAGGTAGACATGTTTATAGCTGATTTTGGTGGTGGAAATTCTTTTGTATTGTGTAAAGTAATGTAATAGCACTAAAGGCATAACTGTATATTCCGGGGTATATAGTGAATGTTTCAATAGAAAATGCCCTTCGTGTTCCTCAGCGTTGCGGTCGACCAATAAAAGGAAAGGTAATTTGGGTTTCATAGTGGTAACAATTTATCTTAAGAATTCCGTCTGAATGGTTTACCTAAGTACTAAACATTTAAACCTACATCTAGGTAAACCTGGTTCTAAAAGTAGCAGAAAATATCTAGTTTCTAGGCCCATCTCCAAAAATATTCGGTAACTTTTTGTTTCTATGGACGTTATAAAGACATTTTCCAGAGCGATAGAGCGTCCAATACCTTATTATAGCGAGCTTGTAAACTGACGAAATGCTCCTCGAATCACTGCCTTTATGACTTAAGCTACCGATATTCACCTTCTTGTACTATTCTGAGGAAAAAAGTGTCAAAGTAAAAAGAGTTATAAATCGCAGGGACTAAAGCTCGGTTTTCTATGTCGTATTCTAGAAAACCGTGTGTGCTGATATAGGCAGATTTTTTGTCGACTGTGATGGATAAAGGGAAGAAGACGCGGACAACTTGATTGAAAATGCCGTTAAAGGAAAGAGCTTTTGGGGGTTTTTGAAATTCAACAATAGGTACAAAGCTATATCTTTGCCCGGTTCTGTCTGATCGACTTCTTTTTCTTCTTTCTTAACTACTTAATTACTAAAAATAGTAAATACCTAAGTATCTAAAGCCATGCGATATGTAACCGTGTGAAGTCAGTTCGTTCTAATTTGATTTTTTAAGCGTTAGTCCATACTAATATTTCCTCCTATCATGGGCGAGATAACAAACATATTATGTTTTTTTCATACACATCACACGAGTAGGAACTCAACTTGCAACACACGCACTCAGCCATTGCACCGATCGTGTAGTTAGATAATCATGTTTGTAGGTACATACCTAAGAACTTAAGTAGATACGTATAATTACTTAGGTATTACCTTCTTACTTTATCTTTTTAATGCTCCTTAATAAGGTCTACTTTTCGTATGCTTCAAATGCGTAGGTGTCTAGTTAATTTATCGTACATAATTAATTAAATGTTTTCTACTGCTGAGTGACTAGGTACTCGAGTTCTAGTTCATTTCTCAGAAGATACGTACCTAATCCTGTTACATAAATCTTAAGCTCAAATAAATAGGCAAATATTTGCTAGTAGGTAGGCTAACGTAAAATAATTTTAATTATAATAATTAAATCCATCAGTTAACTTTTTGAAATATTTTGGTAGACCTCTATAAAACAGTATAGGTATTTTTACTAAGATATATGTCAGTCTGCCCTCCGTCGTTCAGTCGAGAAAGAAAGTTAGAATACGAAATTTAAATTCAGTGTTACCAGTTACCCGCCCAAATTGATTCCAAATTCAAAAGTTTCGTATGTGTGCCAGCAACTGTTAAGTTTTCGTTCTGTAGTGATCCTATTTTCGCTAGTTCCAGTTCCCAAGTTTTCGAAGAAAGGGTGAAACGTTTTCGTGTGGTAATTTGTCGCTAAAATCCTTATTTATTGCAACAGAGAAGTTGGATCGGCCCCGGGGGCAAATTCGCAAACTTTGCTCCTTTAACTTCGCTTCACCGAGTACCGACACCTTGGGCACATATTGAGGTTGAATCCTCGTTTTCTTGTTTCAATAGAATTATGGAGGATTACTTTAATGTTGTTTTATTTTCCATACAAGATGTTTTCTGTACGAAAAACACTTTTGTGATTAATTTAAATAGACCTTCCATTGTTAAGAAGGGCTTAGAGAATTTATATGTTCTGTATCTGCTAGTAATGAAATCAACGTTATCGTTGTTTTATTATACCCACTTAGTAGTTATTTAATGAATGCATGGGGTGTGCAAGAGTAGGTGGTAGTACTGTTGTAACATTTTATAGAATAACTCGTAGGTAATATGATTACGTTATTACGTTCAATAAATAAGCGAGAACAACATAATATGAGCTAATTACACCAAAATTCAGGTAACATAATACTTAATTAGGTACTTATGCCGCATTCAAGGAACAGCGAGTCTATATTTAAACAAACCACTAGTCACTTTAAAATCATCATGTATCAAGTAAACAGTTTCTGACAAAGAAGTTTAATTTGTACACTGGGAAATTGTTTATTTAAATTGAGTATCGTGTTGAGATAAAGGTAATGATATTGTATATCCTAAGCTTTAAACTGACTTGATAGGTACTTTTTTTTAAGGGGGGAAATCATTGAATGACTGCGCTCGCCTGGGTGAGGCGGGAGGGAGTGTCAGACTCTTACTGACTAAAAACCACCCCGTTCCTTCTCCTGCATGTCGAGCCGGAGCCCCGGTTACCCGTTAGGTTCTCTGCGACACTTAGTAGGTACTAGATTCTACTTTTTGATAGCTTCAGACATCGAATGTCGACTTCATCGAACGCTTAAAAAATTTCCGGGTAAAAGTGCTGCCTATTTGCAGAAATAATTTCACTTGTTTTACTGCAAAGTACAAAAGACTATGTTCTGATCAAAATAGAGTTTTACTTCTTGGTAGCCACAGACTATAACCATGCTCTGATCTAAAATAGTCGTTTGTATTGTATGGAATATGGATTGCCAATCAGTACTTCACCAAAGCGAAGATGTGTTGAAATATTTGCAGCAAAGATGAGAGATATTTATACAAGTTAGAATTGCAAAATCTTTTTCTATTAATATATGATATGGTACATAAATACTTACCTAGCACGTTTACTACAAAGAGTATGGTCATATACTCCACATAGTTTCCGAGTAGAATCTATCGCTTCGCAGCAAACTTTTGTACTGAAAAACAGTATTATATTGTTGTACGGCATCTCTCCCACAATTCCATTGTAACCGGTAGGTTATCGCACTATTCATGGTTGCGGTCAAACAATGCGGACATCAACTCTATTCAATACAGAATCGATTGTACCTTTTAATAGTGTTTAGAACAAACTTGGAAACATTGCGGTACATTCGATTTCAAAATGGAATCCCTACACTATTCTATACACATACTTCGACGGATTGGGAGTATTGTAAAACTATGAAACGGGAACTTAAAAGTTAAATTAAAGTGTTGTATTTCTATTAACGAATGTACCTGTGGACTATAGATTTGTTGTAGTAAATTTCTTAAGGTATTGTTTTTAATCAACTTCAAAAAGGTTCGCAATTTGACCTGTATGTATGTATGTATGTTTGTTCGCTATTATCTCGCGATTGGCTGAAGCGTGAAGCAATGCTTGCGTTGTGTTTCGTCGTGTGAGTGCGTTACCGGAGGCCCAATTACCCTCCCCTTCCCCAATCTCCCCAATTCCTGAATCCCCAACAATCCTCAAACTCCTAATCCCCAAAAGGCCGGTAACGCACTTGTAACGCCTCTGGTGTTCCAGGCGTCCATGGGCGATGCCGATTGCTTACCATCAGCTGATCCGTCTGCTCGTTTACCGGCTTATGCCATAAAAAAAGCGACTTTGATGCGTCAGAAAAGTGTATGTTATACCTGAGAAGGTTTTAAGGGGATCGAACGGTTTTTTTTAAATTATGAAAAAATTATCATTGTGTTTAATTAAATAACGTAAACAATGACGAAGCAAGCCTCTAGTTTCTATAAATAGAATATTGTAAGTTCCACTTAATTTGTGGATTGCCGAATGCTATGGTTTGCTACGCCCGCAATGAGTCACTGTTCCGCCGCCACCGCGCCTACGCAAAATTGCTAATAGATAGTTTGATTGCTTAGGAAATGTTCTTGGTGACCAGGGCAAGAACGACCAATAAATAATTTTCTGTTTTGTTTCTACACAAACGACATTAATTATTCCCCGGCTGATATTTCTGAGAAGCTTTTGTCCGTGACTTATACCTATAACACTAATATTATAAACGTGAAAGTTTCTTTGTTAGAATGTTTTTCCGTCAATCACGCTGAAACTATTGAACGGATAAATGCTCCCATGGGATAATAAAAAATAATACGCCGGCAAAACTGCGGGTAGAAGCTAGTTTAACATAAACTGAAGAATTGAATACATTTATAGCTGTTCTGAATTTATTCTATAATTGAACAGTCATAACAGCAACTGTTCAGTTATTAGAACAACTAGGTATTAATTAGATATTTTTCCAATATTCAGCCGAAACACTTTATAATTCTGGAATCACGCAGTTGGAATAATAGGGTAGATGTTTTTTTTCTCTTCTTTGGCAAACTAGTCTCCAGTCCGTCTGGCAGATTATTGAAAAACATTAGACATGTATTTTTTACTTTCTTACGGAAACAAATAGTTTCGAAGACATATTGATTTGAAATATCGCATGACGTCACTTTTGGGTACGATTTATACTCTAAAACACGCTCTAAAATGACGTAGCTACCTCCCACTCCTAAACTTTGATTCGTTTTATCTAAGTATTGTTTTCTTATACAACAAAATAAAAGTCTAATAGTTTTTCATTACCTAACTGACGGACT